CTATCTCTGTGGAGCTCGCTTGCCTCGGCAGTCGACCAAGCTGATTGCTAATGATTAACAATGTGGAGAGATTTTATTGTATGATACCACTGGATCAAATATGGCGACTATAATATCCCAGAAATATCAGACTGTCGTACCCTGGACCTGCAGGGACATCTATCCGACTCATTAATTACTCTATTACCTCTGTTCATGTCTATCAAGTTGATTGTCGTTACCGGCGTCACCGGGGTCCAGGGCGGCTCCGTTGCTCGTTTGTTTGCCCAAGACCCAAACTGGCGCGTTCGGGGCATTACTCGCCATCCGGACAAGCCTGCTAATGCATCTCTGCGCAAGGCTGGAATTGAGCTCGTGGCTGGCGATTACGACGACGTGGACTCCCTAGACAGGGCTTTTAATGGAGCTAACGCCATCTTTGGAACCACCGACTTTTGGTACGGGACTGGAACCGTGTTATTATGTGCTTTTGAGGGGTTACTGACAGTCTCATCCTCAATATAGGCAGTTCGTCCAGGATCCGCAGGTAAACGCCGAAGCCAAAAGAAGGGGGAAGCAAGTCAATGAGATCGCCTTTGAGCGCGAAGTCCAGCAAGGGAAGAACATCGTCACCGCTGCTGCCAAGCATGTGTCAACTCTAGACCGACTTGTGTTGTCCATCCTGAGCAACAGCAAGAAGTGGAGTAATGGTGAAATCCTCTGGAACCTCCACTTCGATGGCAAAGCTCAGTACACTGAGTACATGCAGCAAACATACCCAGCTCTAGCAGCGAAGACGAGCTACTTTCATATCGGAGTCTATCTCAGTAACTGGTGGAACCCAATGCAGAGACCGGAGAAGCAATCAGATGACACTTATGTCCTGCATGTCACTGCAGACTATGGTGACCACCCAATCCCTTGGGTCCATGATCAGAACGATACGGGCTATTTCGTTAAAGCTCTCATACGCGCCCCACCCGGCACAGCGATTCTGGGATGCAGCCGGCTTATGCGTTACGAGGATTACTGGAAGCTATGGGCTGAGATCAAAGGAGTTAGACTTGTTGTGCAAGTGGACGAAGAGTTCGATTCTGCTGGAACCCCTGAGTGGTTGGTGAGAGAAATGTACGAGAGCAAGCAGTATGTCTCAAAGTATGGGTGGGCAGGAGGTGATCCAAATGTCAAGGGACCCCAAGAAGCAGGCGTGGAGATGGACAAACTCATGGATATCGAACGCTACATGAGGGAAACGGATTACGTTGGTTTCATGTAGAAAGCAGATGACTGCTTTCCAAGGTTACCTTTTTCTAATCAGCAGTCGCCTTACATAACTCTCGTGTTGGACTTTCAAAAACATCAAATCATGATTCTGCGTTAATAGATCAATCTTCAAAGTAGTTTTTGGTTTTGTTATTAGTCTTGTTCCTGTTGCGAGTGTGGCTGACAAAGTCATGCGTGGCATCATGAACGAGAGCGGAGCTTCTCGAGTCGGGGCAGCGTGACGCCCAATATCAGCCACTGGTACTTTATCCTACGATTCGTCATAGAGAGGAAGGGGGGGATGGGCTGATGGAGATTCTAACACTTAGTCTTCTGAGTGCCACATGCAAAATTCGCAGACAATGATGCTAACTGAAAATACGACTAGTAGATACTATATGATTGTGGAACATAGTATATTTATCTCATAGCTAATACTACTTGTAGCTAGGCGGAAACCTAAAATTTAGTGATCAATATTCCTTGGTTGGCTACTGTAAATAGCCTCATCCAAATCCCTGGGATATCCTAAAAATGGCCCTCAGTCACCTGTTCTATCTCGGAATCGATCTTGAGCGTCCCATCCTTCAATGCCTTCAGAAGTACCTGAAGAGCCTGCTCAAAGCGGGCCGCATAATCCATTACGCGGAAACCTTTGATAGTAACCGTCATACTGACAATTTTGAACCAGATCCTGATACCTACACTGTTATTGTCGGATTTGTTGTAGTTGGGAATTGCGCCACATGCTGAGAAGCGGCCAAGTTGAGCCATGCGAGTGAGCATCAGGTCCAGAATATCTCCTGTCCACCAACTTCACCTCACATTGGTCCGTTATGCGTAGCTGCGAACAGTCCATCCGGGTCCCAGTGGTGTCGAATTTTCATCAGACGTGTACTGTTTTCTTCACCCCAGTACCACTTCGGATCCTGGTTCAGATCTGAGTCACCCAAGTAGTGACCGACTATGTGTGGCCCAATTCTCTGCATTATATCTTGTAGACGCTTCTTATACTGCTTCGCACTGACAGCATCCTCGCATATTAGATGAATCACGAAATAATGGTTTGCCTGTATCCCTTTAGCCATGCCGGCTATCTCATGCTCACTGCTTGGATACCTGGGCGTCCAGCCAGCCCATGACTTGCTTTGCGGCAACGTTAAAAATGCTTCCTGAAGCACAGATATAGCGTCACAGTCGTTATTCAATAAGACATTATCGGTGATGTAATAATATCCCGGCGGGCTACTTTTCTTGATTGTGGCGAATTGGCTTTCGAGGCTGTCTTCCTCACAGAACCATTCGCTAATGGCACCAGAAGGCCGTGCTTCATCGACAACACGAAGAGCCTGTTCAGCGTCGGAGCATGACTTCTTCATCGCAAAGAATTGCACTGTCAAGCATATATCGCCATGTGACTCCGAATGCATGGCTCTTAGCAATATATCGATATCGGGTGTCGTTTTTGCTACCATCGATTGTGCCCAGGTGAAGATCTCGCGATACCTGTGGCTAGGGTAGACGTATCCAGAGGACCGAACGCCTTCGGCGTGGAAAGGTGTTGCTTGTAGGTAGAAGTTCGTCACAATGCCAGGAAAAGCTACAAAGGACATGAGCCCACGATATCAACTAGTGACAAGCGTAACTCACCCGGTCCTGCACCCCTCGCCGCCCAGTAGAGTTCCTGGTTCTGCAAACGATTGCAGAGAAGCAGCTTGCCATTTGCAGTCACAACTTCAATTGCCTCAAGACTTTCACAGGCCCAACCCAATCTCTATGTCCATTAGAGAAAAACGGAATCACGATTAGGTTGAGTTCTTACCCGATAATTCCATCCCGAACCGCCCTGTAACATATACCCACCCAGACCAACATCCGGATGATGCGCAGCAGTGAAGAACAGGCCGCGTTTATTCAAATATTTACTGATCTCTCCACTTGTTACAGCAGGGGTTGCTCGAACAATCTTCGTCTCATTGTCGATGTCTAGCTCCTTCCAGTAGCCCAGGTCAAGCAGGATGGAGTTCGGATGAAGGCTCCAGACAGGATGCGAGTGTCCTCCGGCACGCACTGCCACCTGACAATCTTTCTGTTTCGCTAGCTTGATGGTCTTTATTACGTCATTTGTTGTTCTAGCATGAACGATGGCTAGTGGATAATATGGTGGTATGTCTTTTGTGAATATCCCTCGGAGGCGTGCGGCTTCATAGTCTGCTTCTTCTGCCGTGTCGCGCCAGATAATATGCATGTTTCCGGCAGCTAAGAAATGATACGAGCCTAAGAAACCGCGTGTTATACAAGGCAAAAGATTATCAGGCAAGAGAGTCAATTTGTAGGCTGACAATTCCATACCAGGATAGCGGTGTTGATATGACGTTCTGCCTAAGTCTGGGCCTTATTTTGGAGTTGCCACCAACCGGCATGATTGGAAACTTGAACTGTTACTATAGTAAATAGCGCATGGTTGGACGCACAGTCTTGAACAAAGCATAGAGCAGGGAAAGTTGACGATCCCAGGCAAAGATTTTAGTGGGGCAAACCTGAGGTGAATATTAGTGTTCAACAGTACAATGGGCCGAGGGGAACAAAGGATGGCTGTAAAGGGAAACAGACTTTCTATGTGATGGCGACACTTCTCCAATACTGATACATGAATTATTCCAATACGGCTCCTGCGTCACCGAATGGTTGCCCCCATAGGAGAAATTTGCCTCATCCAGTCGCGATCTACATCCCCATGCTCTTCCTTTGTTAGGGTTAAAATAAAAGATACTTGGCGAATAAACCACATTCGCCATTTGAGATGGTTGTCCAGTTAATGTACCCAATGTTAAGATGCTTAAACCCGGGATTTGGGCGTCTCCATATGCAGGTACAACTCTAAGCTTACAATGGTTCGTCCTCATCGCCGATTGAAGCATCCTTTTTCCTAAAGAAGCTGAAGACGTGGGAAAGAAGATCCGAATGATCTCCAACTTAAGCGTATTGTATACAGAATATGCTGCTACTATCTTGATCAAAGACTATGTTCTTACTTGGATTAACCGCAGGTAAAAGCTTTGTACTCGTATCGATCGCAATTAAACTTCAAGTCGGCTGACCTAGACTCAATGATTTTGAGTTTCGTCTAAAGCAGGATTGAACTCATGTATCGAACAAACCAACAACCTGCGAGCTCTCCTTGTTTTGGCGAAGAAGACTCTGTAGATTTAAGGCTTACACGTCAAGGATGAATCTGCAAATGGCGCCGCTTAGCTTTAGTCCACGAGTTTCACTGAAGCAAACAAGCCTAGACCTCTCAAGATAGCGTGATATGGCCGAGAGCTTTGCATGCATTTCATTTACTTCGGATGGCCTCCCATGACTAGAAAAGTCCTTTCTCGGCAAGATGAGTGGCACAAAGTAATATGACCTATTCGCGTGAACTAGATCACGTCTTGGCTCCTTCAACGCATACTGGGGTATTTAATAGGCAATTTACGATGACTTGTGTGTCATAGATTCTGCAAGATCCGAGCATTGACATTCATCCAATTTTACTAACCATCTTAGTTCTTCTGTCGCCGTATCCGATATAACAGTACTTTGCGTTGAATAGTATACTGTTAATGGACATGAAGTAGGAGGAAGGTGTTAGATTTTTCATAGGAAGAGAGATTTGTTTATTTGAATAAGAGCCGTGACACCAAAATCAACCCAAAACCATAGAACCATTTACCGCGAGCTTTAGCACATTATTGTAGAAGAGCCGTGGATCCCTATGAATCAATAGGGTATTCTTTCGCATGCTTCCAGGGGAACAGGTGGAGATTTTGAGCGTTGAGAAGATTGACATAGAAGCCCAATGCGCTGATCATTGCAAGGAAGTCCTCACGTGCCTCCTCCTGGTTGGGGTTCCTTTCAACCTTCTCTTTGATGAGTTTGTCAATTCTCTCGCAACTGCCATTGACATATTCCGCCCCCAGATGACCAATGAAATCAGCTATCGATGGAACGAACTCTCGGAAAAGCACGATAAGATGCCCCAGGGTAAATTCAGGACGCGTGAACGCCAGCTTTATGATGTTGTCAAGAATATGATAACCCAGTGTGCGGACAACACTGTTAGAAAAGACCATGGCACCAAGGTAAGACTCCTTTGACCCAGGCCTGTCTGGAGTATTACCACAGTGGATCTTCTCAATATCCTCGGAAATATCCGACCAGCATTTTTGCGTCTGGATCATTGCCTTCAGCTAGTTGTCACCAATGAAAATCATTAAATACATACCTCGGTATGAATCTCATCAACGAGACTTCTTACCTCCTTACTCACACCAGCCCGCTGACATTTAAAAAGGTCCAGCTTACTGGGATCAGGCTCCGGCTTTGACGCATCCCATATAACCACCTCAATAGGGTGCTTTCTCGTCTCACACTGATATTTCCAAACTTCATTTGCAACCCAGCGCAATTTATTCATATCTTCATCAATAACTTTCCCACAAGTAGCCACCGGCTGGTGTTCGGTTACCTCACCATACTTGATCACAAAATGCTGGAATGACGAGAGAAATACCGAGCCGTCAGGCTCTTTCGCCCTATCAGGAGCCTTCTTGTCGGCAGGTGTATACTTTGCGCAGTTAGCAAGAAGACGATCTTTGTGATAGAATTTACTCACGATTAGCTGTTCTAACGGAACCAAGTGATATAGCTGGTCTCCGGCCACAACGGCATGGGTTTGGAGGGAGCGATAGGGTAGTGCAGTGTCAAGTAAACCAACCAGGGTTGGGTTTGCATCATTAATTTCCACCGTGATTGTTGTATTAAGCTTCGGCCACTTGATTTTGACCTCATTAAGAGGCTGGGCTTTTGAACCATTCGGAATGTGCATGGTTATACGGCAACAATATATGCTAGAATTCCAAAATCCTGAAGGTCTGCTTGAGCCTTGGGTAACTTATACATGGATCAAATTCATGTGGGCTTGATAGTATAAGTATTCATCTTACTATAAGCCTTCCTATTACAACGGCGATGATTCCTTGGATGTGATCATCGTGAGGTAAGGCAGCCTCGATTCCCTCACTGTTTGTCAGGGATCTGCGGCAATCTAATTGTATATTCGTACAATGAACACTTCTCCCAAGTATTCCAAAGAATGTACTTAACATGGTAAGTCGTAAAAGCCGGCCATAACAGACCACTGCTATGAGGCTACTGGCAGGTTTCAAGCTTATTACATGTCACGGGTTTTTAGTCAAAGAGCCTACTCTATTGCCCAGTCATTGAGTCGGCTGAAGACGTGTACCATCCTACAACAAGGTAATGGCCCAAATAGGAAAGACTAAACTAAGTATACTGTAACGCAGCTTAGTTCGTCGAAATGTCTAGAGCTGCGAAGACCGACATTCTTTGCCATCAGAGCCGAAGCCTTGAAAACTATTCAAGCATGCTTTAGTTGAGCAAAACCGGTAGTTTCACCAATGCAGAGACATGGTAGCCATGGTTCGATTATGCACGGACACAGTTTTCGGGGAAGGATAGAATAGAGTGTTGTTCCTTCTTCGGAAAACTTGGCAAAGCTGAAGTTATATGCCACCTCCGTCATATCACGTGACCTGTGGTTTGTTTCCTGAAGCGCTACATTGTGAGGTACGCGGGTATAAGAGATATTGTTTGAGGAGCTAGTTTAACATGAGAGTCAGCAGTGTATAAGACTTTGAGATTTGCACACTCGGTCACAATTGGAGGAATTGAGGAAAACAGGGACGGCGGTATCCAGGTACGAGCTACTATTATCATTTATCGCCATCCTTCCGGGATTGAATGCCGAGAGGCGTCTGGAACTAACCAGGAATCATTTAGCCAATAATTACAAGGTATCGAAAAAATTGTATGACCGCTTTGCAAGATGCGTGGCACCAGCCCAAATGAACTGGAAGGCGACCCCCATCGACACACATGCCTCGTCCCCTACGTGAACCCTGACTCGGCACCTCCAAATATCCAAGAAAAACTGAAAGTGCTGCCCTTTCGACGCAATATTCTCCTAACGTTAGCTCACTCACACGGTTTATTCCCTCATATCAGCGGTCTACTTGGTGCTTGTTTTGACGGAAACCAGCGCAGTATTCCAGTGCATGAGTGGCAATTGATAGTGTTACGCGTCGGTACTGTTCTCCAGGCGAAGTATGAGATTGACGTTAATAAGCCCGTGGCCGAGGTCTTCGGGTTTCCTCAAGAAAAGTTCAATGCCATCGGATGCTCTATTGAAGAAGTGATGAAGGGTCGGGGGCCATGGAGTAATCGAGATAGGGTGATTCTCCGCATGACCGAAGAGCAGTTGAGCACCTATGACAATAAGCCGGAAACAATCGAGGATGCTTTGAAATTGCTGTCAGTTGGGGATGTGGTAGAGATTTTATTGATCATTGGTGTGTACGCCATGTTGGCCCGAGTGATTAAAGGTCTCAAGGTCGACGAGGACGAACCGATTCTCGATCTAAAGAAAATGATCAAGACTGCAATCACCGGATGAAGGATGCATTTGGTGGATCGTCCTAAGAGGTCATTATGAGGTTTTCAGTCAAAGAGATAAAATACCTTTACTCAGTGCACGAGAATGAGGCAGAGTGAGGGGAACACCCTAAGAGCTCACCATACTTGGTTGAGTATAAATCCCGCGCAGTCGCCAACCACAAATCATCCGTTTTCGGTGGGGTTGCATCGTTGGTTGGGGTATCCGCATCACCACCCAGTTATTGCTTACATCTAGAACAAAGTCAATTGCGTAACGATCAGGTTGAACAAAGACCATTTTGCTTCTATTGTAAGTCCATGGAGTTAACTTACGCCAAGGTACATACATATATAGACCCAGAGGCAGTCTGCATTGTTCTCACCCTAAACTTTGAAAGGTTTTTTTCTCCCCCAGAGTAGTATACCTATATCTCAACCTTGACCTACCTTAACATCAAGCACTTGCAGATCCTTTCCGTACAAGCCTTCAACAAGCATGACGCGCACTCAGAAACAGATCACCCTTGCTAGAACCACACGGCCGCTGGAGACCACGGTCGCACTAGTGGCTCACTACCGGAAAGGAAGCTATTATATTTTCGAAAGTAATGAAACATGGTACATTGGGCTCGGCACTCATGCATCTCTGACATTTGATGCACAAGGCCAAACAGCTACCGCGACAGGCAGTGACGGCCAATCGGAATCTACGGCTATCACCGGATCACCCACAGACCTGATCAGAGAGTTTGTCTCCGAGTATTCCAGTCATGGGAAAATATTCGGTCAGGTGGGATTTAACTATTCAGCCCGATGTTCAGGCCAAGCCTTCGAATCGGGTCAATGGCCAATGTTGAGCCTCATCGTTCCTAGTGTGCAAATTACTATTGACCGGAGTAAGGCCACTGTCACGGGAGATGATGATGAGGATATTCGCCGAGTAGGCGAGCAGATCGAAAGTATACTGGAAGCCGAGCTGGCCGAAGATATTGCCCTGTCGTCTCCTGTCGAAGGCAAAATAAACTTGAACGTGGACGCACAAACGTATCAGACGCGCGTCGCTAATGCGATCGCGGATATCGCCAAAGCTAAATACACCAAGGCAATTCCATCCAGGAAAGTCCCCTTAGACTTTCGGGTTGATATGCTAGCAACCCTCCTTCACGGTCGACGGGCCAACAATCCCGCGCGTACATTCTCCTTCAACCACAACGGCATCCAAGCTACTGGCTTCAGTCCTGAAGTCCTTCTCTCCATCAACGGCGAGAAGGCCTATACAGAAGCGCTTGCTGGAACCCAACTGTCTAATTCTGCCAAAGCAAGCCTCGATCCTACCAACAACAAACTTCATGATGATGTCAAAGAGGTCGCCGAGCATGTCATTGCTATCAAGGGCTCCATCCGTCGGTTGAGTAAACTGTGCGAACCGGAATCCATTGCGATCAAAGATTTCATGAAGGTCATGCCAAGAGGAAGCGTACAGCATCTCCATTCCCATGTGTGCGGAAATCTGAAGCCTGGATGCGATGGTTGGGATGCTCTCCCGGGCCTCATTGCCAATATTACTGTGCCTGGGCTACCAGGAGACGGCAACTCAGATGCAATGCGGTCCTTCGAGCCAGACCCGAGAGATCTTTATTGCGGCGCAGTGCTTATGCTGGATGAAGGGTCGAAACTGTTTGATGCTACTCTAGTGCTCCGCACGGTGTTCCAGGATGAGAGTCACCAGTGGTTACAGGCTGGAGCTGGTGTGACCATAAACTCCAAACCGGAACGTGAATATGCTGAGACGTGTGAGAAGCTGGGCAGTGTGGCGCCGTTCGTAGTTCCGGCTTCTAATCAGACTTGAGTATACGGGTCAGTTAAAGAGTGGGTTAATCATGGCAATTTCTACGGTGTCCACTCTCTCACTCACGTATCTGCGTATACTTTTAGCACAATTAACTAGGCTAGAGGTGGACTAGGCCCTCTTGTAGAACGAGAATGAACACCATGTAGGCGCCTGCATATTAGGCTTATATGCAGTTATATGGGCTCCTCGCACCAAGCTAACTCAGATATAATGCAGTGACCATGGTAGAATAGTCACCTACCAAATTGGTAATTACTTACGCCGTGGCAGTGGGTAAGGCCAGGTTTAGGAACTCACAAGAATCGAGGCCTCTAGTTCAGTATTCTAGCTTGAGCCGAGAAAGTCCCGGTAACCCCTATCTACGTTCCTCCCTATGATTAGTGTCGAGAAGAGGCTGGGGGAGAGCATAAGTCTGGGCTTCACATCAATGCTCAACAAGAGACATATCAAGCTCTCTTTTCCACAAAGGTGTAGTGTCGTCTCAACTTGTGTATGATTAGATCAAGCCATGTTACGAAGGAAAGTCGGTAGGATAGATACGGAAAGAAATGCACAAATCTATTCATAATCCTGCAATTCCAGACATCTATGTATAACACGGTGAATTGGATCATCTGTCTCCATATATCAACTTACTGAATAATGTCTACCTTGACAACCCCATCCGGACCCAGGAATCCTGGGCGAGAATACAACCGAGTCATGGGAGGGTCACCACAATCAATACTGTTGATCTGCTGGGCACCGGAGAAGGGCACCCGCCACTTCCACCAGACATCATCGCCCTCTATATCAGCGTCACCGGGAATCTCGAATGGTTCCTCTGCATCTTCCAGGTCCTGAGCCCACATGGATAGTTCTTTGTTGTATTGCATGACCACTGTCCTATCCCGAAGCGATCTTTCATCCATGACCGCGATCCAGTCTGGCTCAATGGAGCCAGCCTCCCCTCTTGCCCCAAGCTCAGCAATTTTGGCTAGAGTAAAAGAACGTAGCTCAGTGTCCGTAGCCCCTTTGAAGCCAGTGAAGAAGTCGCTAATCGGGAGCTCGGTGCCCCAGTCTGGATAATAGCTCTGATCTGGTGAGCGAACGACGCACATGAGGTTGGGCATGTTGTCGTCATAAACTTTGCGAAATTGGTCCATGAAATCGTTAAGAATCTGTTCATTCGTAAGAGGAAGTTAGCATGAGCTGACTCCATTATGGGTCGCTGGGCATGAGGAACCATACGCTGGCTGGTACATCTGCAGTGCAGAAGAGGAAGAACGTTGACATATCGGCGTTTTTCAAGGACGGGTGTTGTGTAGTGAGTATGTGATCATGCGTGGATGGAAAGAAAAGGGAGAGAAGCTGACGGGGCTGGCAAGGCTGACAAGTCATGGACTCGCTGCCTAACCGGCAGGGATTAGCCGGGATACAGTCAGCCTTCGATGAATATAGCTACTAGATGTTCCAAGAGCACTTGGGTGTGACAATCCAAAATCATTCCTTTCCAATAGACCGCCCCCAATTTTCTCCACCAACAAATACACAAGAGTCGTGCTCGAGATGCGTACGGCCTGGGGCCAGCTCAACTAATGTTGACCATTTCAACCTTGACCACCCCTTGGGGTCCGGTCTGAATCAAGATTCGTGACAGGAAGCTTATATGTGACTTCCTTTCCCTGATAATCGTATGGCCTCAGCAGCGTAAGCCCCAGTGTAGAGGTAGATAGATTTCACACCTGATAAGCGGGTAGCAAACATTTATCTTGAAACACAATAATCTTGACAGGGAGGATGTATATATAAACCAAATCAGAGAAAGGAATTAGAAAGCGCGCCGTCAATTAGAGTACACTCGAAGTCATATACATAGCAATCCAATCTTTTCCCGAGATGAAAACCTTCCGCATCGTTATCGCAGCTCTGCTTTGTGTTTCGAGTTTTCACCAAGCCATCGCTCTTCCTGCAATCAATTCAACGGTCCTAGAACCGCGCTCCAATATCGGAGACACAAAGGGCAATCCAATCCGAGCAGATATTGAGATCCGCGGAGAGGATGCCCTGACCTACGATGTGGACTGCTGGGCCATTCTATGCAAGGTGAAGCCTGCAGTAATGTGAGGGTGTCCAGGATAACTCCCACTTCCCGATTCTGACGTGGGGATGTAGGTATATACTGAATATAACATAGGCAAAAGTTGAGCCAAAAGACAGCCGACAGGAACCGACAGGTAAAGATCGGCAGTGCGGCCAAAAAACAACCATTCGCAAACCGAGCCAAGTATGGGATAAAAGCTAGCCCTGCAACAAGTGCCTTGGCGGATCATCAGCCCTGGGGATCTGCGGAGGAATTTCCTCTTGCATCAACTGCTGATGGTGGGAAAAAGTATGTCTTGTATACCCAGACTTTCACTCCTGACTCGGATTCATGGGCTAACTGGATGGCATTTGCCATCGCCTTTTTTAGTGCAATTCTGGTCGGAGTCACGGAAATCTCGCAGAAAGAGCAGAAAAGCTCATTGCATGCCTTCTACCATGCAAACAAAATTCGGGCATATAACGAGACCTCGAAAAGCTCAGTAAGATCGTGGTTCGAGATTACAGGGTTTAAAACTAGGGCTGGGACGACAGCTAGTGTTGGGTGAGTGGAAAGTCGTCTCTATCCGTTTACATAATACGTGTGGCTATGCTTTCTTCTGCATCATTTTCGATATTTAGATCTGACATACTTATGAACAGGCCCTACTGCAAGGCATTTAATGCCAAAGACATGAATGTCTGCAGTGCGGGCACCAAGGTCATTGGTAACTGGAGGTTTGATGTGGCCGAGTATGCTTACATCTACAACCACCAGAAAAAGAAGTTTGAATATGTGGGGAAATAATTGTGGCATCCTAGCTGTTTGAGTAAAATATAGTCTAGATAAGTTACCACTCTGGTTCCAGTCTTTTCACAATCACGATCTTGGATAGTTCGATGTTCTTTTATGTATGTTTTCTCTCGAGAAGATCTATTCACTTCTTGTCAGTAACTATGCTTTAATGCTTTGTAGTTTCTCTTTCTTGCATATGTAAATGTGAACAACCAAAGGCTGTTCTTTGAATTAGAAGTGGCGGTTACTACTTGGTGTTTCGATTCATTAACAGGCTACTCCCTACCAAGGGCATCACAGTGCTAAGCCGATGCAGTTGGTGCTCACGCCTCCCTCTTTAAGAATGATAAACGCTGTTTCACTGGTATAGAGTACCGTGCAAAATGCATAGTGTAATTGATTTGATATTAGTATCACCATGCCATTTTGATTAAACAGTTGGTCTCTAGGAAATTTATTACTCATTTTGGGTGTACGGAGCAGAGTGAGTGATTCAACCATGGTTGAGAGCAGAGCAGTGGGTCTTGTGGTATTAACTCTGGCAGTGCGCTTGGTGGTAGTCCTTTACTAGTCATTATCAGGGCTATAATCATTTGGATCTGGATGACTTCAATGTACTTTTGATAAAAGCTCGAACAGTCCTTCCAAAGCTTGTTTGCTAAGTATGGTTCCCTTGATAAAAAACAGTTGCCTCACTTGATTTCAAGCAAACAAATATCACTTCAAACCCAGTGTTTGCATATGAATAAAAGTGAATGACTTTGCCTGATCTCAGAACCAGTTCAACTTCGTGCACACATACTGCTTCCTCCCGTCTCTCCTTAACTGCATGATGTCTACGATTTCCGTTGGCAACACCGGCACACTCATCACCATGGTTGACGCCCCTTTCTCCTGGCTATTCGCAGTGGCCTGCGTACTCCTGATAGCAAATGTGCTGTACTACTCGGTGCGTGAGGTACGGTCAGGTCTGCTTCTCCACCTTGGTACGGCGAGCTAACATGTCACCAAACAGAATAATTCTATCACCAACATCCAGAATGTAATCCGCGACTTCGTATGTGATGCGTCCACAAGTAAACCAAGATAGGGTTAATCTGTTCTAACCTCCGCAGCGTGACCATCGGTACTACCGTCCCTGGGCGCCGAAGCCGATTATGATCCCAGCAACGAAGAAAATAATGACCGAGCTGAGCGAGACATCAGTTTTATCTCAGCGAGCGGTCTATTCAGACGTAAGTCCTCCAAATTAGAAATAATGGCACGGAGCTCTAACTTCTCCAGCTGTTCGGATTCAAACATACCTTGAACGGTGCAGACCACAACGAGGTCAATACGAGAAAGTCGCGTCTTCTTAGCCGGGTTCTGCAGGTGCGAGGTCCGACCCAGTTCGAGCAACTATACCCGTATCTTCTTCACCATTTGAACACCATTGTGGATGCGGAGGTCTCTTCTAGTACGTTTGCTCGCTGGAAATGGTTACTAGTGTACCTGCCAAGGTATCCTCTAATAGTCATTGAGCTGACTTGCCAGGAGGCACTACGTCTATCCGTCTAGCTCTGCTTAGCGAAACGATCCTCTCACGTCTCATGGGCGCGTGGTTTTTCGGGGGAAATATGAGTAAGTTCTATCCTTACTGATCAAAATTTGTCGAAAGCACCACCCTGAACGCGAATAACTTGACTACAGCGTCTGACCCGCGTCTTCGTGACGCCCTCTTAAACCATCCACGCCAGATCAAGGCATGTTCGGCTGCATTTCAGCTAACTCCAAGATTTATTGCACCGTATGTTTAGAGTCAGCAGTCGCTATGCGGGTAACCTACTAACTTACTCCACTTCTCCAGCCTCGTCCACGCAATGATCACCTGGCGTGGATCGGCAATGCACCTGATCCAAGACAGGCTGATTGACGTGATAACTGCTGGAATTGACAACTTAGATGAAAAACCAGAGATCAAGAAGGTTTGGGCTAATATTCTAGAATTCTGCTGCAGCATGGACCCACCCCGACTAATGGACGTGGTTCACAGTTAACACTCCTTTACCACATGGTTGACTTATCGAGGGCAGACCGCAGCTACTGGACACCAGAGAGACTTTCCCAATCACTTCTGGGCCTCTGGCTAGCAGCCTCGCACCAGCCATGGGTAAACCTACACGCAATTCTGGTTGAGCTATGCCTGCGGCCCGAGTGGCAGGATGCGCTCCGAGATGAGGCCCTGCAGAGCCAAGATGACCTCGCAAGCAAGATAAACGAGCTACCGCTTCTGGATAGTTTCATGCGGGAAACTGCACGGGTAAACTCCTTGGATAAAAGTAAGTAGATTTCTCAGGTGCAGTCCTGCCAGCTGAGTCCCATACACTTGTGTCTCTAATTCCTTCCTTTCGGGACTCTGAGTGCAGTCGCGATCCGCCGCAAAGCCCTGACCGATTATTCATTCTCGTCTGCACCTCTCTCTATTCCGGCCGGATCAATCCTTTGCGTATCCTCGCACGATGCCACACGCAATGAGCACATCTACCCGGACCCCGAGCAATTTGACGGCAAGCGATTCCTTAACGGGCGATGCAAGGATACATCGTACAAATTTGCCGACGTCTCTGAGAATCATTTGATCTGGGGCTATGGATCTCTCGCTTGGTTTGCTCATTACCTATCGATATGTTTTAGTTACGGCCTATACTAACCGGTCCCACTTAGCCCAGGAAGACACCATGCCTCTTTTATCATCAAGATCATCGTTGTGCATATTGTGACCAACTATACCTTACGATTGGCGGACCCTAAGGCACAGAGATGGTGGACCTGGGAGGATTTCCGCATGCCCTTTGCGTCGACGCGAGTCCTATTCAGCAAGAGGGCAGACGATGGTAGTTCTTTATTCTTATTCCCAGAAGTGCAGGGTACAGTAGCTCGGTGACTTTGATGACAGGACTGGATGGGCAAATTGTTCTCGACCGCGCTTGATTAGGTATGGCCGAGAAAGGGGAGAACAATGTCCTCCACAACATGTACTGCTATGTACTCTTCTAATCTTTAACTGGGGGGATAGGGTACTAAGAATTCCGAAAAGTCGACGAAACCTTGGTGAGGTCGCATTAACCAGGGGAAGGAATTGGGGTTAGGGTGAGGTTATTGGGGGTGAAAGTGCTAGTTGTGCTATGGATAAAAGCGGGGACATTATGGACATCGTTAATGGAAGTAATCTAAGAAAACAATTCGACAATCACATTATTACTGTAATATCAAGCATCAAGAACCGCTCACTTCCACATCGCAGACATCGGATCCGCAGTCTCTTCCTCTAGGACGCCATACGCTCCGCACGAGCCTGCAGCTTCTTGACCAAATCTATAGCATCCTTCGTAGCCTCATCCAAGCTCTCCTCCGGCAATCCAAGCAACTCATTCTGCACCTTGTCTGAGTGAACACTCGGATCCTCCGGGTAAAACCCTCTTGCGTACAACAATTTAGCAAATCCAGCCATGTTACCAACCTTAACCAGTGCCATCCCTTCCTCATACCGCTCCTTCGTGCTCTCATGAGTAACCGTCCAGTCGGCATCCGTAGTCCCAGTAACACGTTTGACACTCTCAAACATATCCTTCTGGTTGACAGTGAAGCTCTTAATGTAAAACGCTTTATTTAGGAACGACGACAAGGTAAGACTTTGATCACTCTCATCCTCAGGAAGTTCCTTCAGACTGAGCACCTTCGCCACGGCACGCCCAACCTGCGCCAACGTCGACGTCGTGTTCTTAGTAGTTCCATCATCGTAGAAAGTCACAGCTCGCTTGTCAAAGTCGAACCCGAAGCGCACTTCTCCACCTGCCAAGCTATAGTCGTACCAGAATCCACAGCACACAGCGATCCACTGCATACCGAGCTGGGCGACTTGGTCTCGGTTGGCTTTGTAGACAGGGCCGAGGAAGGTCTCCTCGCCCAGCTTGACCTTCTCGATGTCCCCGCCGTAGCCATTCGGCATGACGTAGGGAATACCGGCCTTGGCGGCTGCCTGGACGATCTTGCTGTGGGTGTCCCGGGGCGCTGTAGGGGACATTGTAATGATGAGAAATTGCTGATCCTTTAGGGCGGAGACAATAGTTGCTTCATCATCGTAGTTGACCTGGGCGATTTGGACCCCCTCAGGGAGTTTGTTGGTGCTGTTGGCCCGGGTCAGGGCTGTAACAGTGTGTTTGCCGGTTTTGAGGAGCTCGGTGGCGATGTGAAATCCCACGGTGCCTCCGGCCTAGACGTGTGTGTTAGTGGTGCCGTGTATGGGGGTTTGTGATTGACAAGTGACATACTCCGACGATGGCGACGCGCTCGATGGCGTTCTTGAAGCCGGCGGGTTGGTCTTTGGCGTACTTGGCCATTTTGTTTGCTTTTTGGCTTGAGCTTGAGTTTGTTTGAGAGGTGAAGTGATGGTAGAGCGGTGTTGAGTGTAGTGATTGAGCTTGTGTATGCTTGAACTGAAGTGAGGACGAGCGTCTATTTATGTATTGGAGCCTGAGTGTCGATCCTGCTACTTCTTTGTATTCGGTCCCAAATCAGACTGCATAAGCTTTCGAATCTCGGAAGTCATAGCCCCGACACTGTCGGACTTAGGGAATTAGCACCATCGCCGACTGTAATTGGGCGGTTTCCGCCCACTGAAGGAGCGAAAGGCGATGATGAGGTGAGATTCCCGCTCATCTCCGCCGCCGCAGCCGCACACCAACAAAAGCGGCGATGCGGAGATAGTTGATTAACTCCGCACTAGCATGAGTATCGCCGCAATAGCCGCACCAACGCCGCTCACGTGGTTGCATCTTCTACAATTCTGAACATCGAAGTTCCCAGTAAGCAGGATGGTATCTCTTGCAGCATGACTACTCTCCGAATACATATTTACAGTCCGCAAGTTAACTCCCCACTATAGCTGTATCTCACCACCGAACATCGGCAAATACGGCTCTAGAAAGAACTGATCCCAGTACAGCTCCCAGCTTATGTCAGGCATAGAGGCGTTGGGCTCTGGTTCTGGCGGTGTCAGACCAGATTGAAAGTCTGCCTCAATCGCTTCCAGCTCAGCCAGCTCCTTGCGCTTTTTAGCCGTTTTGAGGCTGAGTAGGTGTCGTGCTATTGACAATGCCTCGCGTGTCAGTGTTGTATCGGCCGCCTTGACTAAGTTTTCTAACCGCTTGAAGACAGTGCCGAGGTGAGCGGAGGAGATGGGTCTGTCAATCGCCAACAGAACGCAAGCATATTGGAAAACGCTGCCGAGGACATTCCAGAAGAGATGACCTTCGTTAGCGAGCTGCTCGGCCGCCTTCAGTCCTGCATTGCCACAATCAATGATGAGACTGATGAATTCGTTCGGTGGCAACGCCTGGGCCTGGTACAAGCGGCGATAAAAGCAAAAGGCGATGTCTGCCGCAGTCACCACTAGAAATGGATGGGTTACTTTGAGTTCAGTCACTGCTTTTAGACGTTCAAATAGTTCCTCGTTCAGGTCCGCGGGCTCCGAGTCGAGACGAAAGGGGGAGTTTGGTGCTGGGATACATTGGACTAATCGGACGAACTGGTCGGCAACAGACCCCGGTGTTGGGATGAAAGACTGACATGTTACAGAGCGAAAGTGTACAGCAGAACAATCTTGCTCATACGACAGCATGTTGTGTGCAGCCCACGAGGCCCAAAATATTCTTCTGAGCCGGTCAGCATCAAGCCCAAGGACAGCAGCGCCAGCCTTGGATGCTATCTTCTTGATGCTCGCTTCGTCGTGCAACCCCACTGTTTCGCACAGGTGCATGACAGTGCAGGAGGCAATCCAGGCAATTTTGGGGCGGCTTGTCGCGCGAAGATAGAACGCACGCATGTCCCATGCGACGATGTGATCAATGTTTAGCGTGTGCATGGACGCTGGATCATCGAGAATCGCTTTGGCGTACCGCACCAGGTCAGTCTCCCGTGGATGTCTGTTGGAGGAGAGAAAGGACCCGAGGCAGGCTACGCCAGCAGCCACGGCAGCAAATGTAACATCTGTACTATAGCCGCCGTCGTAGTACTGATGACATCGATCGGCGAATATTCTGGGGTCCAAGATGTCGCCGATTGGGTTCATGACAGTGAAATACACCCCCGCATAGTGACTGACGTCCTGCTCGGAGATCAAATCCCCAAGGAAGCTGTGAGTGTTTGAAGCCTCGTCTGGTCGGTTACCAAAGTTGTAGGCGCATGACCGTAACCTCGGAGGACTGTCACAACCGAGATTAACACCCAGGACATGTGGAAAAGCCATAGCCGCCGATGCTCCCGTATATCTGAACTTCTGTTCGTCAAAGATCCCAGGTGGTGTGCTGGTTACGGTGGCGGGACTCTTCGTCGACGAGCTATTGGCTTCGCGGTGGCTTTGCTCTACTTGAGGCCGGTTGGCCAAGCGACTTCTTCCATCAACGCTGATACGCTTAGCTTGGGGCGGGTCATCCACGCCATCCCCCACAGTACCCGTCGCGTCATCATCATAGCTGCAGCTATAGTCGTATGTGGTGCACATGCCGCAGGGATATTGGTTGTCACATCTCCGCTTCCGCTGGTGGCATGGATTGCAGGCCTTCCTCGCACGCTTACGCTTGGAGATTGTCGACATGACAGACAGGTGGGTTCAGGCTCCACAGCCTCCTATGGGGGAAGCACAACTATCGACCCAGCGCGTTTATCTTCTGCATCCAACTTGCAGCGATCCAGTTGGGCTGTAGCTTGACTATAGCTATGGAACAGCTCATGAGCTAGATAGTAAGCAATGTCGAAAGGTTCCGTGGTCCGCTTACGGCACGTGACCATACGCGCTGTCGGGCCGATATAGGCTGCCTGAGGCAGAGAGGAATCATCTATAGAGTCTTCCCTTCAATTCCATTCATGTTCACACAATCCAATCTTCAAACCATGCTGGATTGAAAAAATTGGAAACGACATGCCTGCCTCATCAGCGAATCATTCAGTCTAATCAACGGCGCCCAACTAGAACTATCATGAAGTTGTCCCAGGATGGACCGACGATCCCAGAGCACTTTCCAAATTCTTCTACCCCGGTAGCTCAGAATGGTACCTGGCTCGGCCCTATAGAATATGGGACGCTACAGTGGTATTGTTCGGGACGAATCAGAGTGGTGAAATGCAGTACATAATCACAGCTAATGGCTATTATTACTGGGGCCATCTGATGCTTGATGAGATCTTTGAAATGACTAGGCCCACGACATGGCCAGGCATTCTACGCATAATGGCGGAGAAGGGGGTGGAAAAGGTGGGGATAAAGAAGCTGAAGGCTGTCGAGATATCGGAGGACGATGTACTGGTGCAGCACGTTCCAGAAGGGGAAGATGTATTTGTTCCATACAGGCCATGGCGCTCCTTTCAAGTCTGGCAGACCAGATTGGGGTTCGTTAGCCGTACCCGTAGCCCTCAAAACCATAGCCTCCGAGTTGGCTAATGCGTCGGAGGACGAACCGTCTCAAGGAGATGGTAGAGTGACTGAGGCCTAACCGTTTTTTTTGGGGGGGGGGGGGGGGGGTAGGGCTTAGTGTACCTACCAATGCTGGCCAATAATCAGACTCAACCTCTCATCCTTACCGCCTGAAGAACCTGATATAGAATCAAGTGCCTGGCAGTCAAGAATGAGGTCCTTGGAGTGCAATTATTTCTTTGCACGTCTTATAGGGCCAATATGACTCTTCAATGACATAACACGAAACACCGGAGCGCCACAGGAATATAGTTGCTTCAGTAAGTAGATTCTCTCTTCCTTCTTACCATGCCAACCAAACCCCAAGTAAGCCGCAGTCCACCCCACCCCCACAAACACCTCCACCCCACAGAACTAACATCCTTCAATAGAACTAAACCAATCCCAGCTGAATGGGCAGGTAACCCTTTCTACCTACAATGGCATGATGAATTGGCATCCACCTACGGGTTCACCAACGTCTCGGTGCTATTAGCGCAAAACCCTAACAGCGGAGAGTTCGGAATCATATGTTCATCTGACAGCCACTACTACATTGGCGATGAGCTGACCGATTGGATGTTCGATATATCGAAGCCACAACACTTTCGAGAATAATGCACGTTATGAATACCAAGGGGAGAACGGATTAAAGACGAAATCGCTGAAGAGGGTCCCGTATGCGGAGCAGCCAGATTCAGGGCATAGTGAGGAGATCGGGTGCTGTAAGACGTGTGCCAAGTTACAAGGTGCCAGTTCTTAATTCCAATGCAAATCTTGATGGGATTGGCTGTTGTGATGACGTTATTCAGGTCCTTTTGGGATAGGCTATGATGTAGTAATGTGATGAACGTAATTAACCAAGTAGGATGGGGCTCGGATGCGAGATAAGATTGATCGCGCTAGCTGGATACGGTTAGTGTTTTACTATGTACGGACTAGGGTGGGTAATGCTTGGCGTGCGTCATCTTGACGGTGGGTGATCCAACCACTCCGTTTACTTCATTTCTGAGTATATAACTCCCTTCAATTATATCTTCAATGATGTTCTCCCAATTTACTCATCATATACAACTACTCATTGTCATTGAACCTCTCAATTACCCTCTAACAACATCCACACCACCACAATCATGATGAACAGATCCCCTAGAGTCGCTACCCGCTGTCTGCGACAGCAACGTCTCCGCCAATCAGCCGGCCGCTACCGTAACGCTCGATTCCAGTCCTCCTCCTCATCCTCTTCCTCTTCCTCCGGCTCCACCGGCACCGGTAGCAGCAACCCAGCCCTGGTCGGCGGTCTCAGCGGCGGTCTCGTCGCCCTTGTCACCGGTTACACATGGTACCACTTTTCGGGGGCCCGCAAAGCCGTCAAGACCATGAAACAGACCCAGGTCTACGCCGATCAAGTAAAGCAAGGTATTATCAATAATGCTCCGGAGCCGGACAAGGCGCTAAACTGGCTGCGCGATACATTGAAGAGCTATGCGGTGTTTCTCCCGGGCGTGAGCAAGCACATTGATACTGCGTTCGATGATCTGGAGAAGGTGAAGCAACGGCATGGACCTGAGGTTGACAGCATCGTGCGGGATGCGTATAAGGAGCTGAAGGCGCTGGGAAGCAAGGGTGGGTCGAATGCAGATACCGCCATCCAGGCATTGCAGGTGTTGCAGAAGAGTCTGACGCGGTTGATGGAGTTGTCTGGTGATGCTGCCGGAGATATTCTTGATAACCACCCATGGTTGCAGGAGAAGGTTGGTGGTGGGTGGAAGCAGTTGAAGGAGATGGGAGAGGCGTATGGACCCCAGGCAAAGGAGGAGGTCGATAAGACGAGAGAGCAGCTTGCTGGGGTGGCCAAGAAGGGATTCAGTCTTGCGTCGGTGGAGGAGGTGAGGAAGCTGATTCAGGAGAAGTCAGAGAAGTTGCAGAAGCTTGGGGATGAGATGTGGCAGAAGGGGTTGGAGGAGAGTAAGCAGTACTTGGATAAGAATCCGAAGGTCAAGGAGTTGGTGGAGGAAAATGCGGATGCGTTGAAGAAGGGCAATGTTAGTGAGTTGTGGGGTATGGTGAAGGAGGCTGCCTCATCGGGCAAGACGGAGCAGGTGGAGAAGTATGTCAAGGAGAAGGTCGATCAGGCACAGCAAAGCGGGTCTTTTGATCTGAGCAAGTGGGCGGATATGGTACCTGGAGGATCGAATGTTCTGGGTCAGTTGCAGTCGTTGCGGACCCTGCAGGAGAAGAAGGGCAAGGAGGCTGAGAATGTCCTCAAGGAGACTATGGATGAAATTCAGCAGGTCTTGAAGAAGAGAAAGGAGCAGATGGAGAAGCTTGCCAGTGAGGCGAAGAAGGATAACTAGTGTCTTTGAGTGGAGTGGAACTTGATGTATATGTAAGATGAAGTACCATCAATCGATGATTAGATCTAATAATAAATGTTCTAGAAATTTTGGACAAAACCCATTCTAACTTTTGCGCCGGTTGATAAACTCACGACTTGACGTTAGTACGCCTTGTACGCCCTTAGCAATCTCGAACCGTCCGTCGTACAGTGGATAGACCACAACAGCGAAAAAGGCACAGAATTGCCAGATGATAGCGACCGTAGTCCATCCAGAGAAAAAGGATTTGGTGAAGATATAGTCGCGATAGAGCGGCATTGGCCAGAGCACAAAGGTAATCAAAACCAAAACCACGAACATGACCCACGCGATCCATGACCATCGGTGCAGCTTCCGCAGGGTATCTTCTGTGAAAGGATGGCGCACGTCGTCTAAACTGAGACGGCTCGGGGTTGACGTCGGGCTGGCATCCGTCGAGATATAGACCCCTTCAACCTTGGTGTCTTGAGTTGCAGTCGGCGAGGTTCTGGTCGGTGCTTCTTCGGCGAGTTCGATCCGGAGGAACTCTCTCCAGTCGAACGTGTACGGGCGATATAGAGAAATTACCACGGAATAGAGAGCAGGCGAGAAGAAAGAGCCGATAGCGCCGTACAATGCGGGTAGCTCTTCTCCAGTCGTGGTCATGTTTACGGCCCCATACATTGACTTGGCAGTTGCGAGCCAAATGGCGAGACCAGTAAAGAAGCCAAGCACTGGCGAAGCGATAGCGGCGAGGCGCGTCTGGCGGGACCAGAACAGAGTCAGCCCGAGAGGGATGATCCCTGGACAGGACAGGATAGGCCGAAAGTAGCCGATCCACGTCATGTTGGCGCCCCCGTAGTTGAGAGCAATGGAAATGCCGGTGATGAAGATCGCATGGAATACGACTGTTATGTGGCTAACTCCCAGGAGCCGGCGATCACTGGCTTGGGGGTTGATGTACGTCTTGTACATATCAAACGACAGAATACTGCTGACGGCGATCATGGAGGATGAGACGGTGCTGGTCAATGCCATGAATAAGAGTACGAAGAAGGCAATCATTCCAGACTCTCCAAGAAGGGCTTTGACCAGGTACGGCATTACCATGCCTTTGCTGACCTCAGTTGTCGTGATATCAACGGGATAGGTGGGCCAGATGGGAGTGTGGTGGAGCGCTCGGGCAGTCAGGCCAATAACAGTGCCTAAACCCCAGGGGATACCAAAGACGGCTATGGCAGCCAAGTTGTATGCCGGCACAGTAGAATTCACTTCACTGGCGAAGGACTTTTGCCAAAACGCAGTGTCCTATATGAGAGTGAGTCTTACTGTCTGCCATGTTATAGAGGAAAGGAATGCATGAACCTACCATGACCACCAGAGCTAGGTTACCGAACTTCAATATCAAGCCCCAGATAATCGCGCCTTTCGATTTCATTGTGAGCAGCGACCCCTCAAAGTTCCCGGAGATGTAATTTTCGCTCGCAGTTGCGACAACCTTGTCGTAAAGTCCAGCCAATCCGCCGACCTCGGGATGTGTGAGTACGGAGAGAGTAAAATAAATGATCAAAATTAAGGCGACTGCGGTGTGCAGAAAGTCGGTCAAAAACGTCGCCTTCAGCCCCCCGACAGCTGTGTAAAGAACAACTTTGCCATACTTTGTCAGTATGATACCCTGTGATATTCAATGACCGAGCTTACCACCTAGGGGAATCAAGATGGTCGCAGCAACGAAGTTCATGCCGGAAACACCATTAATCAACTGGGATCCGGTCAAGATCATCGAGGCACAACCAAACACGTTGTTAGTCAAGTTCAAGACCATGTAGATAACATGTCCAATCCACCCATACCGCATACGAGTAATCTCAAGCGATGTGTGGGCATACGGGACCCGGATTTTGGCCATGACACCCAAGGCAGCCATCAAGGCGATCTGGAAACAGAGACCCGATCCCCACCACTGTACGATTGATACAAATCAGCATATGATTAATCTTTGTTAAAAGGCTGCAGACATACCAGAGGAACTGCCAATCCATAGCGATAGCACATCGCCGCAGATAGCACCGTCTCGTTGATCCACATCCATGAGGAGAACACAGCAGACGCAGTCAAACCCGTACCGACTGATCGATTTGCGACCATGAACATCTCCGACGTGCCAGAATCCTCAGATAGATATACTTTCTGCACCTTGATTGCGATGAGAATCACCCCGCAGAAGAACACACCAAGGCCGATAAGGAGGCCATAGGCCGTCCCTTGCGTAACGAGCTCGACAGCTGCCATGGTGACCAATGTGCTACGCGGCAAAAATGACCATCAGCCTCGGGTTGCCGAAGAAGTTACATCGATGCCAGGCATCATGTCTTAAGTATCTGCCGGATGAGTACCGTTGCTTAGCGGCTCGCCGATAACCGTCAGTGTCACGCTGTTCATGGCTATGATGGCGTTATACATAACCCGGCCGAGAACAAGGCGGGGAAGCTGCAAGGATGCAGCTGTGAGCCGCTTGATACGGCATTGGTTTCACGGTGGATTAACTGAGTTGCTAGACAGAGATCGGGTGGCCCCTTGCTGGTGGGAGGGGATATGGCGTGCGCCATGCCGCCGATGGCAACACCAGCGGGAGAGGATCTGATAGGCTTTGTCGGCCAGTAGCGTATCGAGATGACCTAGACATTACTTCGAATTGGCTGGCCGGGAGTGAAGATCCAAGCACCCAATGGTGCAAGAAGATCACGCATGCTGGACTCTTCACCTCGACCATCTCTTGTTGCTTATGTTGGAGCCTGAGGCAGAAAGAAAAGATGGTGCGCGAGAGGAGGACCGGCGATTCGCAAGGTAACCTCGAACTCCGCCATATGTGGCACGATGAAGAAGGATGAGATTCGGAGATGCTGAACCCATCAAGCCCAGCTGCATCTATGCCTGGTAGTACATGAGGGAAATGAACAGAACTCCGCACAGAGGCCGACCGCATGCAATATGACACATACAGATTGTGTTTGTAGCTTAGATTTCAGACTGTATATTGCAGCTGTCAGCTTGAAATGGGTCGCAGATTTCCAGTTTCAGCTGGGGCTATAGTTGACTGTTACAAATCCCCATGAGTTTGTGGTGAAGCGATACAATGGAGAAGATCGCAGTCGCAGCCTGACTGGTAAGGCAGTCAGATGAGTCGGGCCGGGTTTTCTCCGACTACTGTCCGATAAGCAGTCACGTGCCAGTGATCTTATCGCCGCTATCTTATCACTAACTTTGATTCCCTTTGGACTCTCATAATCAGGATCAAATGAAACTTCTCTTGTCTTATATGGATCGTGCCAATTCTTATATAATTATTCTTTCAACATGTTAGTACTTATCTTTCTTTAACCTAACTATAACACAGACCAATTTATAATAATTGTAGCACCATCATCATGATGCCACTAGTCACCGTCGTTGTGATGTACTCAGAATATATATTCAGTAGTAGTATTGGCTATGTAGTGGTCACGCTCTCGACCAGGTTCCGTTGTATGGGGAAATAGTATATGTACGTCACTACTATGAGACAAGGTTCTGTAGAATATCCGAGGAGCCGTTCCTCCCCTACTGGAATGATTTAACAATAATGATCTCCAACATAGACGCGCTGTTTACTGGTTAGCAAATGACAACCGAAATCTGACAGCCAGCCAAGAAATGAAGAGGGGGAGGGGCAAGATACCGCCGATCGTCGGTGGTGTTTTATTCCGGATATCCCCCTTCTTGACATAATCACCCATCTGGCATCTTCTATGTATAGCTAGATCATATAAGGAACGATCTGAACCCGTTTATGAGAAGCTTGTATTAAACAGACGCCGCGACCGCTTTATCAACCACCGCCGCAATCTTCTCCACCAACATATCCGGCTGGCTCAGCATCGGCGAATGACCCGCGCTGCAGCGATCAATCTCCGCCCGAGCCAACTTAGCAAATCCGCCCTGAAACGTAGCCGGTGCAGCTTGATCACCCTCACAGATGAGATAGGTAGACGGCAGGTACTCATACGCCGCACGAGTGGTGGGCGTGGTTTGTACCAAGTAAGACTGCGGAATGAGGCGCGATTCCCACAGGGCTGCTTCGGCGTCCGGGAGATCACTGTACAGAGTTTTGGCCCCGTTCATGATACGGAAGCGGCCGTCCGACTAAAAGCAAGAAATTAAGCTTGTCCTTAAGATATTGAACAGATTAGATGATGAAAAACATACGGTCACATAATTGTTCGGCGACTCGCCAAATGTTGATATGACGGATGTGCCCTCTGGTAGAACAAAGGCAGCATAGTAGAAGAGATGTAATACACCACCCTTTCTGCCCTCTGCTTGACGGGAAGTATAGGCGAGGGACTGGGGAATAGCCGTACTGCCCACAATGCCACCGTAGGAATGCATTACAACGACGACGGATTTCCCCTCTTTTTCGATGAGCTGCTGTAGGTTTTCGGCGATAATGCGTGCGTCGTCTTCCATTGTGCGGGTTGGGAAGTCATCGGCCTCTACGTCGGTGCAGCTGGGGAGGGTTGGGTGGATGACGGGGTATCCTAGGCCGCGAAGTCCCGCTGCTAACTTGGCGTAAACAAGGGGGGTCTGGAAGGAGCCCTGAATAAGTACGATTGAGGGTTTCTCGGTAGCCATTGTACTGTGATAATTCAAGCCTTGTGTGATTTGGGTTGAAAGTGGTTGGTTGGTAGAAGGAAGTTCGAAATGGGGAAAATTATAAGCGCGCCCGGGCACTAGTTGAATGACAACCCGTGGTTGAGTGGCATCCTGGGCTGATCATCCCTGCTGATTCCGTTACAGTTCGCCGATCGGCAGACTCCATCGGAGAATATTCTCCCTACAGTTAATAATGTATAAGATGTTCTCTGTTTAACCCTAGTAGGCACTTCAGGTTCAAACTTCCTCAACATACAGTAGGAACCTCCCATTTCACTCAAGGCTATGTAAAAATCCCGGTCCAAAATCAAATACACCTGCATTATGCATACCTACAAAACCAGATATCTCAAGTGCCCTTTCTATGATCAAGACTATCCCATTTCTCCCGAAAACAGTCAGTTCCGCCTCATCAACCGTACGATCCCCTTCCGTCTCCGACAACAAACTAGGATTCGGATAAAGGCTGCAAAACTGGTCTTGAAGGCCCTCACACCCTACCTTATTCTTATGTGGAAACACCTGCAACACCCGCAAAATCCCTTCATAAAAGTCCAGTTTCGAGACAAGGCATAAGAGGTGACACAAAGTTCAGTGAAGGCGCTGCAATGGTCACTGTTGTCAAGGTCCTCCACCAGAGTGAAGAGCGCCATATTCACCCAGTGAATGGTCGTCGGTGAAATGTCATCTGGTCCCCACCGGGTGCAACGAATGTATAGGAAGTCGACGATTGCTAAGGCGGTATCCACGTAGCCTTCCTTGCTGCCTCGCGGGTTATCCTGAAGTTGTTTTCACTATTCATGTCTTCCTTCTTGAGAAGGCTCCAAAGCATGATCACCACTGCGTGATGGAGCATACTGGATGCAAGTACTCTGGTTAGTAGCACGATAATAAAGGTCCATGCTGTTGGCGGTTTCGGGGTGGGTTATGGTCCTTACTGCAAACTCAACGATTGAGGAACAGTGGGGTTTTTCGGGGTTAAGCATGTAGGAAGGTTGCTCTTCCAGTCGTCTAGCCGTTTCAGGATACCTTTAAGGGCATTTTCCAGTTCATCGCGTGGAGAATCGAGGCCGCTTGCGAACACAAGTCGATTCGCATCCACGTTGATCTCACTTAGCGTAGTGAACCTGTTAAGCACGCAAGGAATGTGCGCCTGGACTGGATCCATTTGCCGAGGGTACACGGTCCAGATATCTTCCTCGAGATGATCAATGGCCATATGTTTCATGAGCGAGATTGATGCCGTTATAGAATATGGCTTAGGATTGAAAAATGCAAGCAGCCAGATGTGAGCAGAATTACGCTGTAAGATTGTAGATGCCCCAGATGGTATTATCAATTGCGCGACTTTCCCTGGTAGGGGGCGAGGACGGCGAGTCAAGATGGGTCTTGGCGTATTGCTCAGCCATGCTGCGAATTTGACCGAGATACCACCAGCCAATGCGATTCTTACCCATGGCCGCCATACTGGATAGTGAGGCTTAATGAGGGGACGAGTGATTAGTTGGGAAACAGCTCACCACACGAACAGCACGCCGCATCCTTGAATGGATGGCATATCGAGCCGACCCTCTATCTTCTTGTAGAGCTTCTGCGCTTCTTCGTAAAAATGGACGCCTTTCGAATTTGGAATATTCGGGTCGGCATAAGCCTCTGGACAGTCGGAGTGAAACTAGGTTTGTCAATTAGCGGACCAGAAACAAACGCTCTGTGATAACTCATGAGCTTAGCATGCCTCGGCCAAAATGCACTTCATAAGGAATGGGGAACAAAATTGTGAATTCGCCTTTCCTGCTACAGCGTCACGAAGAAATAGCCCCCGATCTATCCAGTTGTAGAACGGATGGCTCCAGGTCAACCATAGGGAGATTAGATGAGATACAAAATCGTCACTCCCAGTGACCGAGGTCCACGGGGCGGCTGGAATACGATAGATGGGTATATCTACAGGATGCTGAATATCTGGGCCTCGATGCGAGGACGTTTGTTTGTTCAAGGTCGGCGTGATCTCTCGTTCAAGCTCCGAATTGTCGTTATAGGTAAAGTTTAACTTCGCTGAGTGGAGCCTTACTTCGCATGAGATTGAGAACTCGAATAGCCTTGGAGTCAGAGCTATTTTGAAGTGCCTCGACTAGCTGCAGCAGGTCATCGCGCTTCTCCTCTAGCTTTACAATCTTCCGTTTGTGAGCCAGCTTCCGCCGCTTGTCTTCTTCCAAGTCGAATACACACGAAAGGCGACGTTCGGTACACCGGCAGCACTGGGAGGCGCCATCTCTGATTTGACACTACCACGGTTCAGCGTCTGGGGTAAAATACTTAGAGATTGTAGAGAATTGCTTCTACCCGCGCCTTGGATCGCTTGCATTCCCGGCATGCTGCTGATGCCTTGCGAAGCCGAGGGACCGAGGCGTTGGGGGTAGAGAAAGGGTTGGAGGTGGCTGGGCGCAGTTGAGCCGGAGCAATAGACTGCATTATGGCAATATTGGGAAGTATTGGAGGTCAACGGAGGGGTCGACAAGGAAGTTTCAGTGGTCTTTGACAATACTATGGAGAGATAGTTGGAGTGAGGGTGGTGCTGGTGATACAGGGACAACGCTGTGAACCAAGGGGGGAGGTGGAACGGCGCCGTATGAATCATCCGCCCGTTAGAACTGGGTTTTCCATCTTGACAAGTTGACAGATATGGGTCACTCCACTGTGTATGGGTCAATTGCAAGCTGCTGATTGGGTTGATGATCATGTAGGGCTTGCACTAGTAGCCTATTGCCGGTGACCCTGGCGATACCCATGCTGCCTGTTCTGACCGCCTCGAAGCAGCACTTATGGCCGGGAGGTTCCATGGTAAAGCGCAAGGACATCCTGTAAAAGCAGTTCGTGGATCATATTCCCATAGGCGGACGTGGCTCTCATACATGGAACGAACATCCGATAGACAATGATCAGTGAATATAGAGCCCATAACGTTGGACACACACTTGTCAATTTGTCATGGAAATATCCAATAGTCAGGCTTTCGTTGTCACACCTGTTCGAGGACAGACCATGTGCCTATAAGCATATGCGTACTGCCTTCCTGATGGCTTATCAAAGTAACTTGTGAATTGCGTGTTAATGCTTATGCACTTCTATGTCTCCTCATGGCCCAGGTACGTGACTGATTACTGATTATCTGCTCCTACAGAGGCAGTTCTCGCACTTATATGTGAAAGGCATGGTATATTCCAAATACATCATTCATTAATTTGCTCGTGAGTCACTGTATCATCTAATTTTAAATACTAGAAATATCATATGCACAGGAAGCCCTTGAGGACTTACCCGTTATAATGGCTTCGATGGGTTGTCACCCACTGAGTTTTTCCATATCACTGACTACACACCTAAAAGGCCAAGGCTCTTTACAACGACCAACCTCTATCAAGAGTTCTTTTGTGTGATAAACAAATCCATCAGGACTACAATCCCACTGCGACTATCATCACCACCAGTCACATCCCCACGATTTACAACAATAAAATGTCCGAATTGTATCGCCCAAATCAACCAAATTGTGAAGTTGTGCGCTGGGCCGAGCGCTTGAAACAGATGCTCACCCAAAAACACAACCCCATCACCCAGTCCGAGACCCAAAGCGGCTTCCACCCACTAAAGTACAATATTGTTCTTGAAAGGAGGATTTTTGAGGAAAAGAGCGCTTATGAGGTCTGCAAATTTGTGCATAACGATTACAACGAAATCATCATTCTCGTCGGGTGCAGTAAACAGCCTGCCACCAAGCTACCCACAGAAGTGTGGTTGGACGCAAGGGCGCACGAATTGTGTACTGAGACTGACTCGAGATTGCCGTCTGATAAAGGTCTCTACGTTGCAAAGGTGTGGCTGGGTCACGTACACTTTTTCAGGGCTGTGCGTTCATATGGTGGTTGTTATGCTATGCATCCCATTGTTATGGGAGACAGATGGCTACTGGATGGGGATACCGAATTGGTCTATGATATCTTGAATGAGATCAGAGGGCAGTTTGGCTTCTATCCACTCCATGAACCTTTTGTGCGTCTGAGCTCGTTGGAGAACTATCAGGTTCTTGCGGAGACCTCCAGGATCATGTCCGAGACTGGCCCGAAGGTTGAGTATCGTGATTGGTTTACAGATACTGATAATGATGGAAATACTGTGGAAGAGATCAGGTGAAAAAAGAGCACTAAAGTGAGTCTCCAGGGATGATTTTAGAGTGTTATTATGATTTTGTTTTGTGATCAGTGTGTTTCGTCTCTTGGTCGGCGATTATGGCTTGTACTTCGGGTTATCCCTTTGCCCTGGAACCGCTATTACTCTTAGTGAAGGCTTTCTCAACAATACATTAGTATTTGCTTTGCATACCTTGCAGATCATGTATTTATTCGACTGTATATTCCAAGAAATGGCGCTGCCGCCCAAGAATTATGGCATTCACCCCAATATCATACCGGATATCGGATGGCATAGCGTAAGGTGAAGGCACGAATTAGAATGTTAAGGCGTAAATTCAAATTACATAAAGCGCTTTATATTGTGAATCTAAAAACTATGGTTGGACGGGAATGTCGTCAGTGAACAGTGTTCACAGTTCAATACGAGTCATTCCCTGCCCGAATTATCAGCAGCACCTATAAAGCCTTCGCCTGCGCCACCTTCCTCTTCCTTCCCTTTTCATGACAAATAGCCATTTCATCAAGGTCAAGAAGAATACATGATATTCATAGTTTTCCCAATGATTAGGCTTGCAATCATGGTAAATTGTCAGACATACACACAACATAACCAGGCTCAAGAGCCATTAATGAAAAGTTCACTTTGATAAACCGCCTTGCGTAACTGTACCCTTTCTTTCTGACGCAATAACATATCCACAGTCCGCCAAACTCAAAAGGCGAATTCTACGAGTTTGTATTTCGACACTAGCATTCACAGAGAATGAAGAGCATACGCAATTCCTCATATTATTTAACCCCATTGGTACTAAAAAGAAAGAGAGGGTGCATACTAAATGCGCTACTTCTTCCACCACGTCCCAATGACCGGTTCATCTACAGTTCGAGAAGGACATGGATTTTGGGATCAGGAAATGCGTTATATACGGCATGTCCTGAACACCCGCTATGCGGCCGAGTATACAACTACAATCCAGCCAACGCTGGAAAGAAGCCCATACCGTCGAAGAACTCAAAATTAATATTGTTAGCACAGGGGCACCGCTAAGCGAGGGTATTATCCGAGCCCGGAACGATGCTGTCCTCTTCAACACACTGGACAACAAATAGGAGCAGAGCACAGCGTATCAGAATAGTGCATCCCTTAATCACTCAATACGTTCGATCAATCCACCATCGTCATGAGAACGATATGGAAATTTAACTAAATTTCCTCAATGAACGCTATATTTTGTACCGGGCAGAACCGATTACTCAACTTTAGATCGTGAACAACGCTCATAGGGATTTTCTTTTTTTTGCCACGTCTGAAGGCTGGCGGAGTCAGATACCCTTCATATGCTGCTATAGGATACTCCGAATGACACATATCAGACGCAATTCCCACAGGCCTAGAGGAACCGCAAGGGAATAGATGTTATATTTATACTCCGGGGCAAGATGAGAGAAGGGCAATCGACGAAGGTATTAAGGTGTACTATGATTTGGCAAAGACTGAATCTCAGGCTTGAGAGTCTCAAAAGAGTCTCCTCATCTTTTCCAGTGACAGGTCTGAGTCCAAAACTTCCCGGTCATTTTTAATGGCAAATCATAGGTTGTTACTAATGAAAATCAACGACCTCGTCGAAGGACCGGTTCCCTGTGACCCTTAAGTCCTGTACGCTGCTTTGACTGCACTTTTATTTTATCTACGATCTATTGCTTGAACATACGAAGTGTCATTGTTAGCATACTATCGCAAAAGCTGAGACGAATACCAAGATGGGTCAGATCAGTTAATTGTGCTCATTTGTGAGGTTCGGTCGTTCTGATTATCTGCAATTTGAAATAAACATCGAACTACCTCGAGGTGTTGAAGAAAAGGTATATGCTGTCTGGGTGACAAGACTATTTGCTATGATACAGAAGTCGATGGGAAATGGGATAAAGCTAATCTGGTAGTCTATGAAGCTAAGATGCTAGGAGTCAGGTGTCTATTACACACATCTTACGAATTGACAAGCAGCATATTTGTGAACACCTCAAATTTGACTAGTATTGTCTCACATATAGTAACCTCATTGTAGAGTGATGTATAATGGCTACGTGACTATGTTGTCTTTCAGGCAAATTACCCCAGTCCGATTTCATGGTACATTCTGAATAATAATACATCCCGAATAATGTCGTAAATTACTATTGGAAAGATACTTAGATAGGCGGTGTGGTAATGGAAGCTAAAAGACAAATTATCTTCTACTAGCAACTGCTGGTGGAGAAAGTCAGATGTGGGGCAACTGAGACCCTATCGGGTCCTTACTTCCATGGGCGAGCTTGATAGATATTGATATAACACTGTTGATTAACGATTGCTAGCAATGATACATCATGCTCGCCGAATGGCCGGCCGTGAGGATACCTCTGTCTACGGGCTTGCAACGGACGGTTCTTGCTGGGAATTCATTCGGTTGAACAACGATGACAAGGTAACTCCATAGGAGCGGATAGTGCACAATCGTTTGATTCTTGACTGACAAAATGTTCAGCACACGAGGCACAGTTATGAATGAGAACAGGGAGACGCAAAAGAGGTTATATCGACTTTGAAAAGGATGATTACCCACGCTAGTGGGTTATTCAATGGTTTGGCGCGTTGCAATAGCTTGGAGGAGTTGAGCGGGCTTGAGTTTGCGCACCCCTAGTAGAGGGTGGGTCTAGAAGGGAGGAAAAGTGAGATGGAGAGTTTCCAGCAAGACTGCTATTGTAAAGCTTTTTTCACGGATTTATACAGGACTACCGTCGGGCTGGTTGCAAGTATTTCCTGCGCAGTCAGATTCCTACTTAGAAGTCTCTTGCCCAGGAGTTTATCAAAGCATGTCTTCAATGTTTCAATATTAGCTGATATGATACTACTCTATGTTGTACCATAGCTTCGGAGTAATTCATGTTATGACAGTGCTGGCAGTTATGTCCAGACGGAAGAATGGAGATTGATTCCAATCAACACTGCATATTAGTCCTGAAGAAGGAGAAAATGACATATTCCTTTGCTCAGAAGCCACTAGAGGAGCGACATCACACACGCTTCCAAATAATATCACTACTGCCTGGAAGACTTGCGTCATGAGGGCTTTAGTCATTTCAAAACGCTAGACATACATGATCAACCAACGAACGACATGTTAGCCAGATGACTGCATCATCATGCGTCCAACACGATTATACATTTCCAAGAGCGATACGGCCTGGAATGAGGTAAGCCGCAGTAGCATCACGGCGCAATTTGAATTGGTGATACAAGGGAGTGATTGAAGGTCTGACAGTTATTCTCCGCGCGGGTGAAACCCTTATGGATGGATACGAAGTGATATGATGTAATACGGACGATGTAGCGAAGAGAGACCTTTCCATTGTTCTCCCAGTGCTAGATGTGACATCGTATGATTATGCGAGGTCAAGGGGGTTGCTTCTTTCCTGGGCGGATTTGTGATCCGAGCTTCCACATAAACGCATTGCTGCCCAAATTCGGTGCATATCTGAACTCACGTCGTATCTGATATTGAGCAAGGAATTGTAAAGTCGACCAATGATATAAAAGAACACCATATCCCAGGAGTATAGTAGCATCGTATTCGGGGCCTTCGTTTCCCTCCAGGGATACTGAATTACTGGGCTTTGCGTATCACCTCATCTGATTTCGTTACCTCACCATATCCGACTTCTCTTCACTGGATACTATCCCTTCCCGTCTCGGGGAAATCTTATATTCCGCTTCATATCGCACAAGGAGAGGTGTCCTTCCCCGAAAGTCAAGAATATAAATATCCTCCGTGCTTAGTGACCAAACTACGTCAAGATGCATCTCAGATTACCCAGCACTAAGCTCCTCATGACCCTCAGCATCGTCACAACCACCATGTCCAGTACCACTAGCACCAGTCCAATGCTAACCCGCGACGTCTGCATCATCGGCGGCGGCGCAGCAGGAACCTACGCTGCCATCCGTCTTCAACAACTCGGCAAATCCGTTGTCGTAATCGACCACAAACCGCGTCTGGGCGGACAGACAACCACGTACACCAACCCAGCCATCACCCCGCTTCCCATCGAATACGGGGTGACCTACTACCAGAACATGTCTATTGTGCGGGACTTTTTCGGTCACTTCAACATCCCGCTGACCTACTCGGCATTCGATTACAAGATTGACATGTTTGACTTCGTCACGGGGACGACCATACCCGCTACTGCGGAGACGGACTCTAACGCTGCGATGGATCGCTATATCGCGCAGTTAAGAGAGTATCCGTATCTGAGGGTCGGGCTTGAGTTATCTGATCCTGTGCCGGAGGATTTGGTGATGCCGTTCGGGAAGTTCGTGGACAAGTATAATCTGGAAGCTGGGGTTGGGGACTTGGGAGGCTCAATTGATCCGTTGGGAAATTGGCCAGCTTTACCGACGCTTTACGTAATGAAGTACGCGAATCTGGATGTTTTGGAAGGCGACAGAACCGGCTTTGTGAGACCAAAGAGTCGAAATAATAGTGAGCTGTATGGGGACGCAGAGAAGGAGTTGGGGGAGGAGGGATTGCTGCTGGGGAGTGAGGTTGTCAGCATGGATCGGGATGGAAGTGCGGACTGGGTATATGTGACGGTGAGAAAAGGAGAGGAGGATACAACAATTCAGGCGAAAAGCTTGGTAGTGGCTGTGCAGCCGAGCTTGGACAGTTTGAAAGGGTTCGACCTCGGGGTTAAGGAGAAGACTCTGTTTGGACAGTTCAACAATTTGTTCTTCTATACGGCCTTAGTGCGAGTCAAGGGGCTGCCAGATCGGACTTGTTACATGAATCGCGGGGCGAAAGATCCGTTCCTGATCCCGCGATTGCCTGGGATGCTTGTGCTTAAGCCTACAGAGGCATCTGAGCTAAAGGTGGCGAATTATCTCAGCACGAAGGCGTTGTCAGAGGAAGAGGTGAAACAGGGTATGCTTCACGATATGGAAAGCATCCGCCAGAGAGCAAAAGTCGACTTCCCGGACCCGAAATTCCTCGCCATTGGGGATCATAGCCCGTACCAGCTGACGGTTCCGGCTGAGGCCATCGAGAACGGATTTTACCGTGATCTCAATTCCCTGCAAGGGGAGCGTCGGACGTTTTACACCGCGGCCACATGGGAATCTCATAGCACACCGCAGATCTGGGAGTTCACCGAGCAGATGTTGCAAAGCCATCTCCTAAAGTCACTGTGACAACTTAATAGCCGATGTCGAGATATAAATTCTGTGAATATGAGCAGATTCTAGCCGTACACTTCCATGTAGGTCGTTAAACTTAGCTTGTAACAAGTCCGCAGATCCTTGCGGGAGGCACCGGCAGCGGATTAGAACTGGGATACTGTCAGACAAAGCAGAGAGGGCATGTGATTTCCGAAACTCCGTGGTTGTGCGTCCATCCGATGGGCCATGGAGATGGCTCGACGGGCAGCCGAGACCGAGGCCGTCAGCTGTGGAGAGCCGAGTCTCAAGGTCAGCTGTGAAACGTTGTACAGGCGTTGTCATTCCCTCACACAGACGCTTGGTGACGGATAACCCAGATCAGACATGACCAATTGAATATTCTCCGATCAGGAAGTACAAGATATCAGACCTGCGCACAGACTGTTGTCCCGAGACAGGTGTAACCCTATTTCAAGTTCATGTAGGACAAGGCCAATGAATATTGATCAGATAGTTGCAACACATTCCATCATTAACAAGAATTTGCCAAAATAATCACAAAACCGACGGACTTCGCCGGGCCGTCCTGCATTAACCCGAGCTGAGCTCAGTATATGGAGCCAATTGCTACTCAACACACCGAAATTTTGCTTGCTGCTTCCACTCGCTGGCAATCTCTAACTGACCAGTCTGGTCGTTTACAGCCAAGAAACGATTACTGTAATCTCCGCCAGGTACGATGGGGATAAGCCCGTACTATGATAATCGGGAGGCCACGCGTCAGTAACGTGGGATCCAATAGCGACAAATGTTGCGGCAGGCCAGCTAACCTCCAGTGCGTCATCGCTGTAACCACGTAGCTCAACCCAGATGTTATACACGCGGTTATCATACAGGAAGACTACCTGGAAGCAGCTGAATGAGATCATGTGTACTGGATGTAGCAAGGAGGGGATTACTTACCTTGTCTGGGTTTCCGAACTTCCCAATCAACTTTGATTGCGAGAGCGAGTCATTAGCACCAATTCGCAAGTGATCGGAATACAGAACAACTAACGCCATCGTCACGACAGAGCCAAAACTCGCCATTAGCTCGGAGCTTATCCGCTGGGCTAGGCTGGTGGTCGTTTGAATGGAGAGAGAGGCGATTCTCGTCGTCAGTAGTCAGAACGCAGCCGGTGAATGTGGTGAAGAGACCAGAGTGACTCGGCATTTTGCAATGGATGGACAGTATGTGAAACTTATGGAAGGTATTGCAAGCAATGCGATGGTGATTTTAATATAGGACTGGAAGGCTGGAAACCGTAGCTTAAAGCAGGAAGCTTTCTACAACGAGATCCATCGCATCGCATGATGCAAGATATGTAGAATTGTACCAAGCTGAGCGTTTCACGGCATCAGCTCACTGTGGCTAGCCATGGTCCTCGTGGCCATTGCTGTAGAGGACTTTGCTCCACTCTTTCCATGTAATATGATGAAACATAATCGGCCAGTAAGCCTGGAGACCAGGTCTTAGATTCAAACAAGAAATACGGTGATGATGAAGTCATTCTCAGGAGGGAGGAGCGTGCTGCGAATACGAACATTGAATCTCACATCATCTCCAACGGGAATGCCGTTTGAAGTCTCCTGATGTCTCAATGCTAAGCGACCACAGCAAATGCTGTAAACAGCAGGACTTTATATGACACCACACGCCTTGCATAGCTTATTCGAATCTCCTCGGAATCGCATTCCATAAGCCATGATTTCGCGTCTTACTTCTTTTCTGTGCATTCTGCAGGAAACACAAGCACAATGGATCAGGCGAACAATGACAGCAAAAAGACACATTGCTTTTCCCAGGCAACAGTGAATGCCATGTGGGCTGCCAGACTAGCGCCAATGAGGGTGCAGGCGGTTCATAAGGCATCGACGTTCCAGGAAGAGATGGTTGTTGCAACGATTGCGGACAGCAAGCATCAGGTCAACGTGGAAGTACAACATTTTACCTGTCGTGAAAGACTCAATGTGGCTCACTTGAACAGTGCGGCTCATGCACTGGCCCGAAGACATGTTGTCCTACGTTCCCTCTTTTGCTGGAATGATCATGCCACAAAACAACATCCCGGCCGGATATTGATGTTAGTTCTTGGCACCGATTACCCCGAAGCGAATATCAAGCTTGTCAGTGAAGGACCGACCCAGGATATGAATACAGAAAATCCCCCTATCGACTTTCATGTGCTGGGGTTGTCTGACGCTGCGGAAATTCGCCAATGGCATGGAGAGATGCCATGGAGGTTGACAATCGACTCATTGCCTGGCCAGAAAAATTCTCGTCTATCACTGTGCTACCATACCGCAATCCTGGACGAGTCTTCGGCTTGTCGGATGTTGCGTTACCTGTGGGATGAGCTGCAGGCCCCCGGTTCCACCGTCGTGTCCGACTTCATTGCAGCCCACAAGGGCCTGGCTTTCCGACGCAGCCATGATATGCAACGTCGGGTTCAGGAAAAACTTGCGGGAGCACCTCCTCTCCTAACCGTCTTCGGTAGCACAAAGCCACTTTACAGAGAGGGGTATGGTGTGACGATCGACAAAATGGCTATGCTTAACCCTCGGGCCGATCGCCTGTTGAGAGCGCGGCAGGCCCTATATATGGCACTCTGCACATTGGCCAGGACACAAGAGGCCACATTCTTAGAGTTAATCCCGCTCAGAGAACTACTACCCTCAAACCATAGAGAGGTTCTGGGTCCAATTCTAGTGCCTCAGATTCGGTGGATTCAACATGATAGCCGTACATTACTCTCAAGAATTGCTGAAAGCCTATCTTCGGGATGCGACATTCACCACGCCTTCTCACCTGGCGAGCTGTGCTCCTTCAGTCCGAACACGGCATATCGACCTTCGGTGTCTCTTATTTGCCACATCGAGTCATGTGCGTCCACTGGAGTCGAAGCCTGGACTTGGGATGGCAAAGATTCATGGTCAGATGTCCCTTTGGTAATCGAACTGATTCCATGTGGTGGGGATCTGTACCTTGTCCGCATTTCCTACCACCGTGACCTGTTCACAGACAACGCCATTGCGGCATTCCGACATTTCTTTTGCGCATCGCTTGAATGGCAGCAACATGGGCATGATACATGGAAAGACATTACCCTCGAATCTGCGGTTCACGATCTTCTGAGTTCACGCCCCGATGCAGCTGTCCACCTGGAGAACCAGAAGAAGATCCAAACCAACAGTGAGCATGTCGGCGAGTCTCCAGGGACTATCATGTTCAGTAATACATCGCCCATTACCACAGAGAAGTGCACTGGACATACATGTTCTTCTCTGAGTAACGTGAGGGCCGAAGGTGGTGCATGTGCGCATCACTTGCTGGAGCGGAGTGCTAGCAGGTTTCCCGAGAAGATTGCCCTGCAATATGAGATTTCGGACTATTTGACATATAAAGACTTGAACGATCGTTGCGACCTGGTCGCTGTTTCTTTAACTTGTTGGATCGAGCGTATCCAACGAACGTCTCCCGGCGAAGATCTCATTATCCCAATTTCGTTCGACAAAGGTTTTGAGCTGGTAATAGCTATGTTCTCGGTGTTGAAGGCAGGGGCGGCTTTCGTGCATATCGATGCGAGTCTGCCAGCTAGCCGAATAGCGGGGATCATTCGGAAGGCAGGGGCGCCATTCATTCTTTACGATGGAAAGGCTGACACGCATAAGTTGAACGAGGTTGCCAGGAGGGAAGGCAGGGCAATCGTTGCGCTCAACGATCTGGTCAGGATGCAGAACAAGCGTCCACTTCCGTCCAACCGGAAGAAGCAACCAGCTTCCTCGCTTGCGTACATTCAGGTGACGTCTGGAACGACTGGGGAGCCTAAATGTATCATGATAGAGCACTGTAACTTGGTGGCTTTCATGGAAGCCGACGAGCCCGAGTTTCTAGGTGGTTGGACGACTAGCAAGCTGCAGCTCTCGAATCGCACCTTTGACATAGCCATGGCAGACATATTTGGCACACTGGGTCGTGGGGGAAGATTAGTGTTCGGTCCAGACGCAGAGTTACTGTCCTCTCTGGCAAGATGGCTAGAGATGACTAGCGTAACGGATCTGAATACGTCTCCCTTGGTCGCAGACTTGCTGAAGGACCATGTCCCAGCTTACCTGAGTGTCCTGATGGTCGGTGGAGAGCCCTTCCATCCCTCTCTCATAAAAGGCATCCCTAAGGAGTGTCGATTATACAACAACTATGGCCCAAGCGAAACAACCTTCGTAGCGACGACATACACTGTATCAGAGGAGGATGAAAATAAGTCAAACGTCCCGATTGGACGCTCTTTTGGATCCTGTAGTGTTCATATATTGGCACCTGAAAGCACTGAAAGGGTCAAAAGCGGGGATATTGGTGAAATTTGCATCAGTGGGTCCCAAGTTTCCAGGGGTTACCTAGGACAGCCAGAGCTTACTGGTAAAAGCTTTGTCTCAGATCCTTCTGCGAAAGATGAGAAATGCAAGCTGTATCGCACTGGAGACCTTGGACGACTTTTACCCGATGGAAGACTGGAGTATACCGGGCGCAAAGATAAGCAAGTGAAACTTCGAGGGCAGCGTGTCGAAACACTGGAAATAGAAATGGTGATTAGGAAGCATCCTCGAGTGAAGGCTTGCGCAGTCGCCACAGGCGACTCGAGCCATGGAATGGCGCTCGTTGCATTCATTGAGACACAGCCAAACCACCAAAACTTATTTACCGATGCGACAGCTGAAGCGGGCCTCTGGGCGAGTCTGGTAGATGAGATCAAGACCGTTCTATCCCAGAGCCTGCCAGACTATATGATACCAGCGCGCATTGTGAAGCTTGATGATGGATTACCTCGTTTACCTAGCAACAAGCTTGATCAGAAAGCACTGTCAGCTCGAGCAACAGAAGTTCTAGCAAGCGAAGCGTCCCAAGCGGCATTGGAATACGTCCATCCACGGGACGAAGTGGAAAGACATGTCTGTGAAGCTTTCAGCAACGTGTTTTCTTGCCAGGTTGGCATTACAAACAGTTTCCTGGATCTTGGAGGACACTCTGTCACAGCAATACGGGTGGCGAGTAAAATAAGGAAGCACCTTCGCACTGTTATCACCTTCCGGGATGTTTTGGAATGCTTGACTCCGGAGACGCTGAGTGCGCGCATTCGTGCTTCTGCGGAAAACATACCGCAGAGCCTACCGACGTATCGAGCTCCAGATAGCATGACTGTTGAGCAATCGTTCGCGCAGGGGCGCTTGTGGTTCTTGGAACAGCTCCATCCAAATTTGAGCTGGTATCACATGCCACTTGCATTCAGGTTGCGAGGGCGATTGCACCTCGACGCCTTAGGGTCCGCTTTACTAGCGCTTGAAGAGCGTCATGAAACGCTGCGAACGACATTCGAAGTGAAAGGCGACATGAATGTCCAAGTAGTCCATCCCTTTACGCTGAAAGGTATCCGAATATTGGATCTTACTGGGGACCCTGGTCACGAAAGGCTCTACTCGGTCCTTCGTAGTGAACAGACAAAGGCATTCAACCTTACGAATGAACCCGGGTGGAGAGTAGCCGTGGTGCGAGTTAGCTCTCAAGAACATGTTCTTTCCCTCGTTATCCACCATATAATTGCAGATGGATGGTCTTTGGGGGTGGTCTTGCGAGAGCTCGCATTGTTCTATTCTGAGAGCCTCCGTGGGAAAGATTCCTCGTTGATATTGCCGCCTCTACCCATCCAATACCGAGCGTACTCGCTATGGCAACGTCAGGAAGAACAGCTCCGGCAGCAACAGCGTCATTTAGCGTATTGGACACAACAGCTGCGAGGCAGCCACCCGGCCGAATTTCCGTGTGATAAGCCTCGGCCTGCTGTGCCATCAGGTCAGGCTGCTGTGAGGGGGATCAAATTAGGCGGTGTTTTATACAGGGATTTGGGAAGCCTCTGCAAGCGATATTCGACAACACCCTTCGTCGTTTTACTGGCGGCTTTCCGGGCAGCTCATTACCGAATGACAGGGGCAGCTGATACGACTATCGGCACTCCATTCACTAATCGCAACCGTGAGGAACACGAAGGAATAATTGGGCTGTTCGTGAACATGCAGTGTATGAGAGTCGAAATTTCGGAAAGCGATTCCTTTGAGGTACTGGTTCAACGGGTAAAGGAGACAGCGGCGGCGGCATACGAACACAACGAGGTGCCTTTCGAGATGATCGTCTCCGAGCTACACCCAACACGGGATAGTTCACGCAATCCACTGATTCAAACTATTTTCGCATTTCACCCAGAACGTGTTGATAAGATCAGCCTCGAAGGCATCGACTCGGAACTGATTAGCCTGACACATGCGACAAGGTTCGACCTCGAATTTCACGTCTGCCAGTGTGAAGATGGCCTGGAGGGTGACATCGTATTCTCCACTGAGCTTTTCCATGGCCGAACGATCGAGGTGTTGCTATCGATCTTTCAGGATATATTGAGAGTCGGCCTAGAGAATTCACATACGGCCATCGAGACGATCCCCCTGCCGAGCGCTACTTCCGCACTTGATGACATGAACCTGTTGGGGATTCGCCGCTCCGAGTACCCTCGAACTTCGAGCATAGTCGATGTATTCCGCGAACAGGTAGCCGCACATCCAGGTAAAACAGCAGTCAAGGACAATCAGAATCAATGGAGCTATGCCAGGCTTGACCTAGAGTCCGATAAGATGGCGGGTTGGTTGCGTGATTTGAAAATGCCAAAAGAGACTGTGATCACGGTTTTCGCTAACAGATCGTGCGAGACCATCGCAGCGTTCCTGGGAATACTTAAGGCAAATATGGCCTATCTTCCACTAGATATCAAGTTTCCAGCTGCTCGAATAGAGTCCATTCTTTCTTTTATTGAAGGCAATAGAGTTGTTCTGGTCGGCTCCGGATGTGAATTACCAATTACCCACTTGGATCGGGTAGACGTTGTCCCCATGGCACGACTGTCGAGCGGTATTGGTCAGAGCCCAGCATATGTTGATAATACAATGCCTACTGCCAAGAGCCTCGCATATGTTATGTTCACTTCGGGCTCCACCGGACAGCCAAAAGGGGTCATGATTGAGCACAGGGCGGTTGTGTCACGAGTGAAGGGTTGCGATATGCTCAAGGAAGAGGTTGCGGCAAAGCCATTCGCCCACATTTCCAGCATTGCTTTTGATGCAGCGGTTTGGGAGATATACACTCCTCTTCTCAACGGCGGCACTGTGATTTGCATTGACAGTATGACAATTACGGACTTTGAAGCCTTTTCCAACATATTTCATGCGGAAGGCATTGAGATAGCACTTATTACACCCGCCCTGCTGAAACAGCTTCTTACAGAGCCATCGGCTTCGATCTCTGAGCTCCATACACTGGTCGTGGGGGGAGATCGAGCAGATCCTCAAGACATGATAAAAGCACGCAAGCTAGTTCAGTATGATGTAGTAAACGCTTATGGCCCAACAGAGAATACCGTTATCAGCACCTTCTATCGACTTCCGGAGAGCGGCGGATATCATAACGGTGTACCAATTGGACAAGCAGTGACAAACTCGAAGGCGTACGTTGTGGATCGGCAACTATGTCTAGTGCCACCCGGTGTAATCGGTGAACTTGTTGTTGTCGGCGATGGCCTAGCACGCGGCTATACCGATACACGAAGGGATGTGAATCGTTTCCTCAACATTGATATTCGCGGTCAGGTTCTAAGAGCGTATCGTACGGGTGACCGAGTTCGTCGCCGTCCGGTAGACGGACAGCTTGAATACATTGGCCGGTTGGATGGCCAGGTCAAAATTCGAGGTTTTCGTGTTGAGACCGAGGAAATCGAGCACGTTCTTCACAGCTCAGGCCTAGTCGGAAGTGCCGCGGTCCTCTTCCAGCAGCCTGATAATCAAGAGGGCCGGCTAGTCGCTTTTGTCACGTTGTTGAAGGGGGGCTATAAGCATCTCCCCATGGATGAGGTAGCAAGGGGTATTGAAGAACAGGAATCAGAACAGGCTTGGAAGCAAATTTTCAGTGAAGTCACTTATGACAGCCAGATCGACCCTCGTGAGGCCGGTAGGGACTTCTCTGGATGGAAGTCAATGTACGATGGTACTGACATAGACAAAGAAGAGATGGGGGAGTGGCTGGACGATACGATCACAACGCTGCTCAATGGTGCACCGCCAGGCAACGTGGTCGAGATTGGGACGGGCTCAGGGATGATCCTTTTTAACATTGCAAATGATCTGCAGACATATGTCGGCCTTGAACCGGTGCAATCGATCGTGGAATTTGTGAAGACAATAATGGACAAAACTAACCCGACTCTAGCAAGCAAAGTACAGCTGCATGTCGGAAGTGCCAGTGACTTGGACAAGATATCGCCCAACATCTCAAGGCCCGACCTCGTGGTGGTGAATTCTGTTGCGCAGTATTTCCCCAGTGCGGAATACCTATCCAGGCTCATCTTGGATCTTCTGCGGAAGCATCAGGCCAAGACCCTCTTCTTTGGAGACATACGTTCATACGCCCTATATGCTCAATTCCAGGTCACCAAGGCCCTGCACGGAGAAGGAGAGATTAGTCTCGAGTATATCTGCCAAAGTATGGCAGATACTGTGGAGAATGAAACTGAGCTGCTGATTGACCCTGCTTTTTTCACGTCTCTAGCAGCTGAATTCACAGATCTTATCCACCACGTCGAGATACTTCCGAAAAGAATGCGAGCGACAAACGAACTTAGTTGCTATCGTTATTCTGCCATCATCCATGCTGTGCGACAAGACTATCTCCCCATCATTCATACTGTAGACGCAGATCAGTGGATCGACTATAGCACCCAAGGTCTAAGCCGGAACGGGCTCTTAGATCTATTGAAGGAAGGTTCAGAATCAGCTGTTGTAGCCATCGCCAACATCCCGCACAGCAAGACTATATTCGAACGACTAGTCGTTGAGGCATTTTCCAGCCAGACAACAATGACAGATATTGGTTGGCTACCATCGATCCGTCAGAATGCAGCTGAAGTTGATGGACTCTCGGCAAAGGATCTTGTTGATCTGGGCACCTTGGCAGGGTTCCATGTGGAACTAAGTTGGGCGCGACAATTTTCCCAACACGGAGGACTGGATGCCATCTTTCACCGCATCAAGTCCCAGAATGGACGACAAAGAACCATTTTTCAATTTTGCACCGATCATGAAGGTCGCTCAATTGAAGAATTCAGCAACCGGCCAATGCAAGTTCAGCCGACCCGCCAAATCATAAGAGAACTCCAGCAGTTCCTGAAGATACGCGTGCCTTGGTACATGGTTCCGGCTCTGATAAGCGTTCTTGAGGACATGCCTACTAATCATAGCGGCAAGATAGACAGACAAGCTCTGTCTCAAATTGCAGCCACGATGGCACCTAGGCAGGCACCAGCTGACATGACCTTCGTGCACCCTAGAACTAAGTTCGAAGTGATTGTTTGCGAAGCATTCGGTCACGTTCTTGGATGTGAAATGGGCGTTACAGAGAATTTCTTCGATCTCGGTGGACACTCCCTGATGGCAACAAGAGCAATATCCAAGATTGTTGAGCGCACACAGTGTGCCATCACGGTCCGAGACCTGTTTGATTACCCAACGCCAGGAGCTTTGGCAAGCAGAATTTCGACAATTTGTGATGAAAGTAGCGGGGAAGAAGCAGAGAGTGACGAAATCCAAGGCATTAATGAGTTTGCTGGTTACGAGCCGGTCGTGCACGATGAATGGAATCAAGCTGTGGAGGCGGCCGGCATTTGCGCAGCAGACGTAGTGCACATGTTTCCGTGTTCTCCCTTTCAGGAGGGTGTCCTTGCTGCCGACCTCGTCCTCAGAGACTCTCCCGCTTATTTGGCTACCATGAAGCTGAGATTCGACGGACGCTTGGACGTGGATATGTTGCAATCAGCGTGGCATTCAGTGGTGGCACGTGAGGAAATGCTTCGAACAGCCTTCATGCCATCGACGCAAGATTTGTCCTTGAGCGGAATGTGTAGTGGAGCCTTTCTGCAGGCCGTCCTCCGGTACGACTCCAACGAAGTGGAAAGGGTCTCGACACTTCGGCAACAGGAGTACAATCCGCTGCCTGACCTTGGGATCGGCCATATACCGGTTTCATTGGCATTGAGGCAAAACGACGTGACAGGTTTGATGCAACCTGAATTGACAATGCATCATGCTCTTTATGATGAAGCCTATCTGTCATATATTCTGGAGGGCCTGTCTCGTGATTATCACCATGCACAGAGCCATAGCCCAACAAACGATGACAGGAGCAGCCACATGCCGTTCATAACGTTCATTCGCACGTTGCAACAGAAGGATCGATCAGTAGGCTCCACCTTCTGGAAGAAATACCTAGATGGGGCACCAGCATGTACTTGGCCAATTACATGTGGTCTCAGAGGTCCTATGGATGGAGTTCGAATCCCACATGAAGTTCGTGCTGAATGGAGCGGAGATGCAGAAGCACTGTCAAGAATTTACAGCACCACCCCGGCCGGTCTTGTTCGAGCAGCTTTAGCTTTGTCCATTGCTGTACATAGTGATTCAGACGACGTCATTTTCGGTGAGGTTTCGAGTGGCCGAGCTCATTCGGAGTTCGTCAAAGGCCCCTGCATCGCCACCCATCCAGTACGAATCCCGCTTGCAGTGAACTCGAAGCAGCATTCTAGTGACGGACCACGAAAGGGAGTTTCAGTTGAAGAGCTCCTCACGCGCACCCGAGATGCGTACTTAGACACGATGCCATATCAGCATTTTGGACTCGAATCTATTCGACGCTTGACTGAGAACCCCGACTTGCTTCCTTTTCAGGTGCTTTTCGTTTTTCAGGCACAAGTCACAAATGCCAAGAATCACATATTTCCATGGAGCCGATTCAGTATTGCTGACGGTGAGCTGAAGCGTACGGACTTTCCCTTGGTGCTTGAAGTGTTCTGTCGAGAGCTCACAGGCCATCTTCAAATGCGATGTGTGTTTGACCCGGCGGCAATACTTCCAGCAGATGCAGATTGGGTGTTGCAGCACATCATCGACTCGATTGACCTCATGCAAAAACGTTACATGCAACATCAGGAAGAGCAACCCCCTGAGGCTAAGCTCGTAATCAAGGAGCGAGAGAGAACTATCATCGAACAATTATTGGGCCACCAAGATGGGGAATCGTCTGAGGGAGGTGGTGCGTTGTCTACCGTTATCCAACTCTTTCACAAGTGCGCAGTAGAAATGCCAGAGAAGATTGCTTTGCAAGTTCAAAGGAGTGATTTTGTCACGTTCGGACAACTCGACGACCTGAGCAATCACATTGCTGTCGGCCTTGAAAAAATTCTCAACAGTCAAACAAGTGCGACCGCCAAGCAGCGATACGTGCCGATCTTCTTCGAGAAGTCATATCACATGGTTGGAGCCATTTTGGGCATCCTAAAGGCCGGAGCAGCTGTTGTTCCCATGGACATTGAACATCCGATGCAGAGGCTAGAGACAATATGCGTAACAAGCGCAGCCACTGTCTTCCTTTGGGATGGTATAATTGGTGGCGAGAAGCTACAAAGACTTGCCAAGTCAACGGGAGCAACTGCACTGACAGTAGATGATCTTCTCCAGAATACCAGCCAGACGTACAAGCACAAAGTTCTACCCCTGGACTCTCTGGCTTATGTGCTTTTTACCTCAGGATCGACCGGTATTCCGAAAGGAGTGATGATCGATCATCGAAACTTGGCATCGTTTTTGTCCTCCAATAGAGGAAGTACTGACTGCTCATGGACGTCGAACAGACTCGCGCTTCTTGCACCTACCTTTGATGCGGCAATGGGAGATTTGTTCGCCACGCTCTGCAAAGGTGGCCGTCTCTTGTTGGGTAAGCAACAGGATATTCTCTCCGGGCTGAGCCATTGTTTAAAAGATCTGAGTGTCACACATCTATCACTAACTCCCACATTGGGTACGCTGATACTGAACGACCTTGACAACGAAGGGTTCTCTTTTCTGCGCTCTTTGGTCTTTGGGGGTGAGCCTTTCCCACTCAGTACTTTGAGCCGCGTACCCAGGACAATAAATGTCTGGAATGGCTATGGCCCTACCGAGGCGACCATTGAAATCGCAGCCTGCGAGGTACAAGGGCCAGTTGTTGATGTGTGCGGAGGCCGATCGTTTGTACCCATTGGAGAGCCCGGCCAGAACAGACACATTCGGGTGTTATATCCCGGAACTACGGAGGAAGTCCCACTGGGTTCAGTTGGCGAAGTGTGCATTAGTGGACAACAAGTGGCACAGGGCTATCTAGGGGAAGCTGACTTGACCGCGGCATATTTCATACCTAATCCGTTCTCCCCAACGGGACAGGGGAGAATGTACCGTACGGGAGATAGAGCAAGACTCCACGGAGATGGATACCTTGAGTACCTGGGTCGCATGGATGGGCAGATAAAAGTTCGAGGAATCCGAATTGACACTGACGAGATTTGCTCGGTGGCGCAGGAGCATCCACAAATCATTGCATGTGCAGTGACTAAGCTTGAGAGCAACGGAACTGAGACCCTGACAGCGTTCGTTGAAGCAGTCCATCCAGTCCAGCCCGGAAACGTCATATGTGAGTCCATAATCAAGGAGCATCTAGCCCAAAGCCTTCCCACCTATATGGTTCCAGCCTTCATCTGGGTGCAAACAACACCCTTACCGCGTACAACAAGCGGTAAATTAGACAGGATCGCTATCACCAAGATGGCCGCGGACAGACATAACGAGAATTTAGAGGACCGTTCGAGGCACTCTCACACGCCTGTTCGCGCCGCGCCTGGGAGCCTAGAAGACAAGATAGCTTCACTCTGGGCAAAAGTGCTGGGGATCAACGAAGACTCTGTTGACATCACTGCAACTTTTCACAAGATGGGCGGTGACTCCATTCGCGCAATAGCATTGCTTGCAATACTTCGTCGACAAGAGCTACATCTCGATTTGATAGACGTTTCACAGACTTCAACAGTGCAGTCGCAAGCAGCCAGAGTTCGACAGGGGTCAGCCGCCAAAAACAATGCTAGTTACCTACATTTTCACATGCGCCAAGGGAGTATGGCAACCATTGTCCTTGTTCATCCGTTCCTTGCGCAATGCATGGTATTCGAGCCTCTGCTGCCATTACTAGACGGCTCGATTGATGTGCTCCTAGTCGACGACCCATTCATGGGCACAGCTAATTATCCTGAAACGCTTTCGCAGTGGGCTAATCATTGCTTGACTGATATGAAAGAGCACATTCAGACTGACCACCCTGTGATATTTGGGGGGTATTCATTTGGTGGATTCATTGCATTCGAGATGGCCCATAAATGGGACCAATTATACGGTGCCCATTCCAGCTCGGTAGTCCTACTCGACCCTGGCACTTATGAGGTGGATAACAGAGTATGGAAGGGTGAAAGTGAGAAGGAGAGTTTGATTATGAGCTCGCTGGGCAGATCGGAGGTCAGTCCTCAAGACATCCTACCGCTTCGAAAGTGCTTTGATGGCTATGTTAGAGCCTTGGAGCATTCTAAAAGTCCACCAGTCTATGAGGGTAAGTGCCTTCATGTGGCCTTACCCGATCGGCTCCAGGACGGAGTGGTAGATTGGTGGAAGGCACATTGCACCAACATCACTCTGGGCGTTGTCGACTGCGACAACCATTACGCGTTGATGAAGGATGCAGGCTGCGTGGCTGGAATCAGTCAGTTTATCAATGAGCATTGCAACGCCGTTATAGAGGAGAACCGAGCGGTGAGCAGTGCGAGTTCAGAATCTCGGATGTATGGTGGATCTTCAAGAACCGACGTGTCGATGGAAGATGGAGACGTGAAGGAGCAGACCAGGTGACTAGCTAGATAGGACTAGCGCGTCTCTTCGTATCTACAGCCCGATCCGGAATAGTCGGTCGGGCACAACTGCTTATGATTAGTCATTTATGAAGAGGCCAGTAATCCACACCAACACCCTTCAAGATTCCCAGATGTAGATGTTTGACAAACTGAAACATCCCACCGAAGCCATTATATTTATTTGGGGCCAGACGAGTGGATCAATCATATGAAGCTAATAGTATCCGTCAACAGTTACAGTGCCTACTTCGCTAACTTAGTCGCCGCCAGAGGTATCGCATTACCACCGCTGCTACCTACACTTTAGTGCATCGACAAACTAGATACCATGCAGAATCAACCGGCTAAACACCTGTTAGCACTAGCCCATACTAAGCAAGCTATGTTGTCTTGAATCTTTGATCTGGGGCTGAAAATCATGGTTCTCGACCAGTCAAATTCAGATCCCCGACTAAGAACCGCTAAATATAAAGTTTGACTTAACACTCTCCGAAACTTGTTTATCTTCAATCTACCCCCAAAGAGACATCATATATACTCGGGACAGTCACTACCCTCGATTGATAGCTCATATCCGTAATTCGTATCGGAAGGGCCATCCCATCAACACCCAACTGCATAAAAATGGGCCAATCCCCCTCGACCCCCAACCCGGCACCAAACTCCGCGTCATCGGCGCAGGCCTCTGGCGAACCGGCACAGCATCCTTCAGCGCCGCCCTCGCCATCCTCCTTAACGGCCCAGTTCACCACGGCGGCACGCAAACAAACATAGGCCCACCAGACGAAATCACCACCTGGATGAAAGTCATGCGCCTCATCCTCAACGACAACGCCCCTGACCGACAGCAAGCCCTCACCCTCATAGACCGGCAATTAGAGGGCTACGCCGCCGTCACAGACGCCCCGGGTACCCAACTCGTCCCAGAGCTGATGGAAGTCTACCCAACGCCAAGGTCATCTGCACCGTTCGCGACCCGGTAGCGTGGGAGAAGAGCATGACGCACCTGGAAGGTCTGGTGCGATCGTCGTGGGTTCTGCGCGTCATAATGCTGCCGATTCCTGGAATAAGGCATTTTATGGATTTTCTGGCGTTGATTGCTTTGCAATGGCAGAGGATATATGGAAGGAATGGGGGTCCGGGTGGTGCCTATCATAAGCATATTGAGTGGTTGAAAGAAGTGGTTCCAGAGGAGAGGTTGGTTTTTATTGATATTAGGGATGGGTGGGGGCCCCTGTGGAAGGCGCTGGGGATGGAGGTGCCGAAGGATATACCGTTTCCGAGGGTTAATGATTCCGAGGCAATCACTCGGGCCGTGAGACAGCATGGTCGTCGTGGGTTAATTCGGTGGGTGTGTATATTTGCGGTGGTTGCTGCTGTGTCTTTGGGGTTGTATTTTCTGCGGAGTGAAGGGAGTGCCATTGGCGTGTATGATCTGATTACCTTTAAACTCCCCATAACATACAGATGAAGGAGACATTGACCTTCCACTGAGAGATGCATACTATGAGCCTCGTACACTTCTACCATTGCCTGAAAATTTGCATCTGAGGGCACCTGTTCAAGTGGTATGCAGCGCATACGTATATAATCGGCTACAATCCCAATTTCCTACCGCGAGAAACGCCGAGCCAAAATATATGGGAGCATTATTCTACTGGCCTTTCCAATTACTCGGTATACGTCAAGCCATCGTAGCATCTAGTGCCACGACAATCTTATTTGAAAGACCCGGTGATGCCCATCTCATCCATCTAGTTATAAATGATATATGGAACCCGGCCCGCTCCGCTGCCAGAATATCCGTGCTGACGCCTAAGCCTAACTCGATAAGCAATCTTGCAATGCCCCGGTACTGCCCTCTCATAGAAGCATTTGTAGCGCCGTAGCGCCATTGTCTGTGGCAGGAGCACCGTCTATGTCTAATGGATGCCCCAGACACATTGACTAAAGCACCTACAGGCCCAAGTCCCATATGTACCCAAACGACTCCCTGAATGAACTATCGGCGGTCGCATATATTTGCCTGGTACCACGTGCAGATATTTCTGCTCTCTATGAGTGCAACAGCATCAAGGGAATTATTTCCCAGAATCCGGCCAGCAGTCCGTGATTCCTCCGTCCTCCCCAACAGCAACCACAACCGAGCCTTCTCCGCGCAACGGGTTTCCATCCCACAAAACCAAATCACCTATGTATGCTTGGCTATCATTAATCGCACGATCAAGCTTCAGAATTCGCTCAATATTGGACGATACAAGCGCGACAGCCTCCTTATCACTCAAGCCAGCTTGCTTAGCCGCCCAGCGCGCCTCCCGGGCCAACCCATGAAGTCTGGAATCACCCTGCAGTGCTAAACCCAGCTGCACACCTGCGTCAATCAAAACCTTTGCTGAACTGTCGCTGAGCGGTGGCCCTGGAAGAGCGTTCTTCTTCTCCCACTTATCAGGAGCCCCGAGGTTGCCGGTTAGGATGACTGGGATGCCTGCTTCGGCTAGGGGTTTGGCGACCTAACGTAGGGTGTAAGTTATAGTGACATTCAGTGGAATGAAATAAAGGGTGGCTTACTAAAGCAGCACCATGGCCACCATATATGATTAGATTGACGGAGGGGAACTCTCGTTTGACCAGAATCAATTGGGAGATGTCGTCCTCGTTGTATGTCTCAACCACCAGTGGAAGAGAGCCATTTGCAGCTTGTGCATATACGCTGTGCTGCTCTGCATCGCTCTTGCCGCCCTCCTTCAAAATCTGGCGCAGGGTTTGGATTTCCGAAGCAACAGTTGGGGTATCTCCGTCTAGTGGTTTTGTCAGACACATTTCCTTTGCATCGGAGGAGATGAAGGACTACTCACTCTTGGCCCCCTGTCCGACCGATAGATGAAGCGCCGCATCGCTCTTCCAGATTCCACCGTCCAATATCGTAACGTTAGGATCAGTTCTCAACCCCACGCTGACACCCTGGATAAGCCCACCGCCATGCGGCGGAGTAATGGCTCTCGTGACTCCTCCAATCCTCGCGCGGTCAAATGCAACCCCATGAAGATGAGCTCCGTATTTGGCAAAGTGGACGCTCTTTCCTTCGTTCAGAAGATCGCCAGCTGTACCGCCTGATCCGTCGCCTGTCGACTCTTCGGATGAAATTGCTTGGATTCCAAGGTCGTTCCCAAAGGCAATAAGCCCGGGAGTGATGTAGCCATTGTTTAGGGCTATTTCGGTGACCCCCTCGTTCTCGCCTCTTATGCATGTCTGTTTCGCACCGAGGCACGAAACCTTGTTGTCCTCTAGCACAAGGACTAGATCCTCAGCCACTTCATCAAGATGTTGGTAGTCGATAAGTACTTTCTGAATACCGGTAAAGACGAGACGTGGCTTCGAACAGACTTTAATCCGCTGGTCGACGTCTACTACCGGTCGCATCTCGGGTACACGTTGCAGGTCATCGAAGCTGGAAGCCAAAGATTCAACTGCAATGTCTCCCTTCTGTAACAGCGCACGTCCGTCAATAAAAACCTCGACAGCCGTGGCCCCGACTTGGAGCGGATGGCTGTCCCATATGACGATGTCGGCGTCGTAACCCGGACGGACGTATCCGATGCGGTAGTCTTGCTGCATTGATTGGGCTGGCACTGACGTGACTGACTGTAAAGCCTTATCGGCTGGTAAGCCGAATGAGTGAGCGATAGAGGCTTGGTCGCTACCAATTTATTAGTAGCTTATCGGGAGATGTTGGGGCGCAACTAACAGAAGGTATTTAGCATAGTTCTCTTCCCCGGTATGATCCTATACTGATATCAGTATCATTTCGTATCGATACAATTCAGTAGGTTACTCCCATACCGATTTATAAGCAACCCGCACTCCGTGGTCGTTTAGTATCTTCCCTGCTCGCAGATTTGCTTCATAAGCCTCGGCCTTGTACAGCGCATTGTCCGCGAATGTAGCAACCGTGACGTTCCTGCGTTCAAAATCAGTACCGCCACACATCTACAGATAACAGACTCACGGCTCCAAACGCTTTAACAGTTCCGGCACCTGCCACGCTTCCAATGCATGATGGAAAGCCCGAGGGTGAATATCAAACTCATGAAGTACAGCTAGCATGCGCTCCAAATCCTCCGGTGTATAACAATGGACATTCACATTGAGCTCTCCCCTGATCAAGGCCACGAAAGTATCCAACTCGAATGAATCCGGTCGCCGCCCTTGTTGTTCAAGAAAGCGCGATATATGCCGAGCTCGGTCAAACCTGGTGTGCTCAATTTCCAACGCTCCGCGACACCAAGCAGCCTGACGCCGCTCTAGCTCCCGTGCTTCCGAAAGCTTCTCCCTCAAGAGCCAAGCAAGTCCCATCCGGGTGTGCTGGTAATTGCGTTTCGGGTTTTCACCACACGCCATCTTAAGATACCGCTGGCGATCTTGCTCCGGGATACCGTGCTCCAGGAGCAATTCCTCGATTACGGGTTCACCGTGTTCACCTGAAAAAGGCAAGTTCTTAACGGGGTAGGCCTCACCGCCGACGATGTTTGCTGAGCCGGGTAGAACAAGCGAGGAGGTGACTCCGCCCGATGCGATGATCCTGATGGTTGGATCGGACGGCGTGAAGCCATCGATTGCGCGCACAAAGTGAGTAATGGGTCCGAGGGACTTCTCGTTCACGTCACTTGTTGCTACTACTTGAGGAAATGGCATTAAAAGGTGATGAGAGTGCATATCCACTAGGCCGGGAGTGACATGTTTGCCGTGGACATCGATAATGTTTGCGTTCGCGGGCGGAGCATCACCTGAGCCAGTGAAAACGATTGAGGTTATAACACCAGCCTCGAAGACGATGTCCACGGCGTCTGGGAGCGTCGATTCGCCATCAAAGAGGGTTGCGTTTTGGATGACGACTGGGGTGGCTTGTCCAGAGACCGGGTTCCATCGGGGATTTTCCTGTCTTGAGCTGTCCCCAGCATTTGGCACATGCAGTTGACGTTCAGCGTCGTAGCATTGGTGCAGTCCGTTGTAAAAATCATGGTGCGTGGTTGCACTGGTTGACAATAGCAGTTCTCTTGGATTGACTCCGACCAGCAGAATTGCCGCGGCACAAATCCCCGCACAGATGGGCAGTTGCCATTGTCTTATCGCGCGGCCTCGTGTTCGTCCAGAGGACGAGGTCCGATACATCGGGATAAATGTTTCCTCCTTGACAGTCATTGTCGACCCCACTGCCGCACAATAAAGCGGAATTGTCGAAGGGAAGAAGTGACAGCTATCGCGGGGTGAGAGGTAATCGGTCGACCCTTGCGTGACTGCAACCCGGTACGACGTCAGCATATCTGTCCAGTGGGTCCGGCCGCATTTCTTATCAGATATGCTATGACTGTCAATGTCTATCTGTCCCGTCCACTTAGGGCATAGTGCAATTAGTGGTTGACACTGGATCCAAGGGTTCCTTATTCTTCTGCCATGTGTTTACGAAGTCTAATAACTGTTCCTAATTCAGACAATATCCGCCAGCTAGCGCGTGGCCGACCGATGCTGCCTCCGTCCCTGTAAGCCGCGACGGATGAAGCTCTTGGCATGTCTTCCCGCTTCGGCCCATTTTCATCGTCTTATCGACCACCAACGAACAATTCCATTACATCTAGTGCTGACAGCGGATCAATGAAGCCTAAGACCCATCTGGCAATATTTTAACGAGCCGACCTATCATTCGATTTTGAGCCTCGCTTCATACACGGAATAATTGGGGGCTATCTCTTGAATCGCTACCATTTATTAAGGGCTCCTCCCTTCTCACGAAGTAAAGATTAAGAATCATCTATTTTACCTCTCCACGATCGCAATATGTCCAACCCAACCCTAGTCTTTTGTGCCGGTGCCTGGTACTCACCAGTAGCATACGGCCCACTCATCGAGAGACTTCCCGAATATACCTGTCGCACCGTGGCCTTCCCCTCCATCGAGCAAGCCAATGAAATCAAAGACCTCCAGCCCGACATCTCCGCCGTGCGCAGTGTGGTCGAGACAGAATGCGATGCCGGAAACGACGTTGCAATCGTATTGCACAGCTGGTCTGGTCTCCCCGTCAGCAGTGCCCTTGATGGACTCAGCAAGACTGAGCGCCAAGAAGCGGGTAAACCAGGCGGCGTGGTGAAGCTCATCTACCTCTCTGCATTTATTCCGGAGGTTGGTGAGAGTTTGATCGGGGCATTTGGAGGGGTGCCACCGGATTGGTATGTTCGGGATGTGAGTATACCTTTTGACCACTTTTATATCTCAATAAAGTAATCCTAATGCGGTGTAGGTGGAGAATGGCACCGTGTTGCCTGATGATCCCTTCAAGCTATTTTTCCACGATGTTCCCGATGGCCAAAAATGGGCCGAGACATTGCGACCCCATGCATGGGCGACCAAGAATAGCCCTGCCACAAGTGCAGCGTACCTGCGAATTCCATCTGCCTATCTGCTGTGTGAAGATGATCGAGCAATCCCATTGTTTGCACAAGAAGGGATGGTTGAAAAGGCACGCGCCAAGGGAGCCACGTTCGAGACAGACAAGGTTAAGACGGGACACACGCCGTGGCTGGTGGTGCCGGATCAGGTGGTGGAGTTTGTGAAGAGACATGCATGAGAGTAATATAATTAATTTAAAGAGCAGCCAATTCGATTGACCGGGTCCTTCCATCTGCATCCTGTTTCCCTTAAAATGAGGGGTTCGAACGTTGAGAATCACATCGTGGCGGGTGGTCCCATTGCCGGAGTCCGTCCGCGCCTGTCTTCCTGCATGAAGCTAACAGCTTAGTTGCTTGGTTTAGTCTTCTCATTACTCATTCACACTTAATATTCTGCTCAACTCTGCTGCTACTGGCTCTCTTTACTCTCTGGCGGAATATATAATACCCCTTTCTCTCAATACTCTCAGCCCGGTAGGGCATTGCGCCTTTGTGCAATCCCGACCTCCACAAATCCCCCGAACCCTGCCTAAGTACCCCATCTCATCCTCATCTTCATCACTGCCACTGCCACTGCCACCACAATGGCACCAGAAACACCCCCATCACCCCTTCATCGCTCGCTCCTCATCCCCGAAATCCTCGAACGCATCCTCATCCACCTAGACATCCACACCCTCCTCTTCTCCCAACGCGTCTGCACCGCCTGGGCCTCTTTAATTCAGCAATCTCCATCCCTCCAACAAGCCCTCTTCTTTGCCCCAGCCCAATGGCCCAAAGAAGACATCATCTACAACCCCCTCCTGATCAAACATTTTCCACCGTTCTTCCCAGGTACCATCCAAAATGACCTCGTCAAACCGCGAGACTGCTACCCGCCTCACTTCCTCCCAATGCAATACGTCGGCAATGAGAACGCGTGGAGCCACCCCGTCAAAGACGACCTCACCCGAGCAGAAGTCTTCTACTCTGAGCTCCCTCTCCAAAAATATCCCCTACGCCGTAAGGCGTACCTGTACCCCGAGGCATCCTGGCGTCGCATGCTCACCCAGCAACCGCCCGCACCCCACATCCCAGTCCTCCGCGTCTGGTCCTGGGCCCGGGGCAAAACCTTTGATCGTTACCGCATCCCAGGCACATTGAAAGACGTAATGGATCTGGAGAGATACGTCCAAGAGCACCCAAAGGACTCCGAACCACCCGAGTCTTCGTCTTCTCCCACTAACAACCTCGAAGACGGTGGAGGTGTCACAATGGGCCTCCTCTTCGACTACGTGACCTGCGATCTGGATCTAAAGTGGTGGATGATCATGTGGGGAGATCTGCCCCCGGTGTCGATGGCACTGGAACTGGGACCGGAATATGTAGATGCTTATAAGCGCGCAGCGGAGGATGGGAGTATTGTAATTCTCACATTTCAGATCGTGCAGGGAGCTGAATGGTGGTATGATATTGCTGCGGCGAATGCGAAGAATTTGAGGTTTCGTATTGTTGATGAGTATAGGGCTAGGGGGTGGGTCGGGGAGAGGCCGCCTACGTTTTCGAATCGGTTGAGGGCCGTGGAGAACGGGAGGTTCCCACATTTTAGCACGCAGGCGCCGTTTCTGGCGAGGTATTTGTTGCCGGGGTGGGGGGTTGCTGTGGGCTAGTTGTGGGTTAAGTGCGTACTAGATTTGTGTTATACTTTGTTTTTGTTGTCTGATATCGTGAGAAATAAGAGTTTGGCTATACACGGTCCTCCAAAGCATAAGGACGGGGTTTTGTGCTGCTTTGGAGTATTTATAGAATGTAGCACATATGATTATCACCATAGCCGAGTACCAGCCCCTACTGCACGCCCTTAATGATATCCACCGCTCTCTCCGCCACCGCATACACAGTCGACATAGGATTCGCAGTCGTCATAAGGGGGAAGATACTCGCATCACACACCCGCAAATTCGTAGTTCCATACACCCGAAGCCTATTCTACTGTTACGATAACATAGATTGGCCGAGGCAGGCCGACGTCAATTGCATATGAGCGATGCCAACCAACATTGGCTCATTGCATCTCATCTGGTTGTTTCTTGCGCATCTACCGTCTCAGGAAAAAGCCACACCGAGAGCTCTAGCATTTAGCAGGACTTACTGTTCTTTTATTCCTATTTTATTTTTTCCCAAAAAAAGAGAGCTAAATAGCACCATGTTATCACAGAGATCCCATGCTCGGCAGACTGGACGCCGATATGGTATCGTAATCCCCTGGCTCTACAGCTAACAGGTCACATAACAAAGTGCTTAACATGTTCTTACAACCTTTCACCCTTCATTTGAGGTAGATATGTTGTTACAACATCCAACACACCCTTCGCGCCTCCCGACACCTCATACACCCCCATTTCCTTCGTGACTCCAAACTCCGCATCCAATATTCAACTCATAAGCGTCCCATTTCCCTGGATCGCCACCAATTTGAAAAACGTATTACATTGGTTACTCCTCCGCCAGACAGAATGGACTATCTCAACGAAGATATTACTCCGTGTGCATCACTCACAGCGGAAAGCAAAAATCCAATTGCTAGCGTATTTATCTTTATTCCTTTTACGTTTAAATTCCATCAGGTCGACCTCATCCCCTAACGAAGCTTTACGTTAGGATCCAGACTGACTTGTCTCGGTTACACTCTTCCCTCCCAAAAGCCCCTAGCGAAGTGCGCCCACACACTCTCAATTATGGAAAAGCGGGAACTGGTGTGAGACGGGAATTCTAAGTAGTCAGTTAGCCCAGGTCAATGACATCCTCGCTACGGTCCCAACTCGCGTGGAAACAGTTATATCTTAGGTTCGATGGTTCCATCAAGGCGGTTCAGACTGAGTAGTCTGCCGATGATAACAACAGCGAGCGACGGTTCCGAGTACCAACCCCATTCAATCAAGGCAACTGCCCCAAGTTATGATCAAAAAAAATCATGTACATTTTGACTCCCAATCAAGCCTTAACGCCGTTCTCTTCACCAATATGCAGACACTGTTGTGATTCCGTATCGACATTTCACTTTTCAGGGATCCCACATCCACGGATAAAGGTGGACGAGGTCCACTCTGCAAATCTTCCATCTCTTCCGCAGTGAGCCATCTAACACTGTATTTGATACCTTGCAGCCCCTTCGCGTATTCTATCGTAAGCCTTATCGGGTCAGCGATATAGCATGCCGAGCTACCGCCTGGCTCGATGGTGTTATGCAACACGATGCCCTGCGACAGCTCTCGCTTGCTAATAATCTTGCTGTCTGAATCCTGTCCTTCCACTGTAGACGGGAAATCTAGATCTATTGTGTTGCCATCGCATGCTGCGCCACAAGGAATACTTGCGTGGCTTGGGTTCCCAGACTCTGGCTCTTTGTGTGGCTTATCAGTCATCTGGGATTGGAGCCGAATACTCCTTCCGCACGACAGCTGCCCTAAGTCGGGTTGCGTCAAGCCAGATTTGGTTGTCTCTGAGATGGGAATGGTGAGGAGGGTGCTTTCGTTGGGGGGCGGGTATGTCGTTTTTCGTTGTCTGGCGAAAAGCATAGATAGGCTCTCCCTGATAGAGTTCTCGAGCGCCTTGTTGAAGCGTTCCTCTAATTCTTTTACCTGAGGTACGGTCGGCAGTCGCCAACCGGGGTACAATCTGCCATGGCATCTCGGCGTATGCATTTGCTTGTGCAGGCAAATGAAAGCGCTGCATAAAAAGCAGGCGTCTTTGCTTGAGCAGACGACACGGGGAAACAATTTCGGCCTTTGTAGTTCGCAGTAGATGACTATCTGGACCTCCGCATGAATCTTAGATTCTCGGAGTGTCCTGTGTACCTGTCCCGAAAACAGGGATGCAGCTTGCGCCTCGGTGTAGCCCAGAAGATGATAAACCCGGTTCAACCGCTTCCGGTCAGAGTATTGATGATCTATTCGAGCAGCGCAAGATTCTATGTCCAGAGTGTATGTGCCGTTCGATGGGATACAAAATGCGTCCTTCGGAAGCTTGACGGGAATTGCTCTCATATATCGAGCTACACGGAACCTTTTTGCTATTCGTCGAAGTATCCTAGGAGCCTCGGCGTACCGGGAGGCTTTTGCGATGGCGTTCAGGAAGCTTTTCTTCGCCTCGTCCTGTAGTTCAGATGTCGGTATCTCGTTAAGCAGGTCACTGAGCTGTTTCACTTGGTGTAATTGGCTTATTCCCCTGACCAATCCACGCAGACGAGCGACAGTCTGATGACCCTGCCACGAATCTATCAAACTCGTAACTTCTGTGGCTTTATCTCTGAAGAGTAGTGCAGTACCTCTAAGAGATTCACTCGCGCCAGGCCTCGCCGCGACTCGCTTGGTACACCTTATCACATTCTGCAAGATCTCCCTTATTGGTTTCTTCGATTTCCTGGTCTGCTTTCTACTCGCTCTCAAACCCAACCTGTAGAGAATGCGTAACGAACACATGTCGACTATATTGGCGAACAAGGCTTCCTCGATAGCTAACGGGTTTTCTAATTCGTTATCAGTCTTGCAGAATAGCAATAAAGTCTGTGCCACTCACGTTCTATTACAGTTTGCAATATGGCAAAGATCATATTAAATCTCTCCTCTAAGGCATGGAGAATGGAATCACCGTCAGACCATTTGGCTTTATTTATCGCGATAAGTACGTTCAACCTGTCGGTGTCCTGTTCGACGCAGATGGCCGGGATATGGTTAGGGTCCTCCTCCGTTTGTGCTAAAAAAGCCAGAGTTCCGACTAAGCTCCGCTCTTTATCGACTGACAAGTTGTAATTCATTGCTGAATCCAAGTGCTCTGGAGTATTTGATGACGGCACTGTAGGAATGGCTTGGAGGGGGCTTGTACTGGAAGCTGAGTGAAGGACGGATAGCAGAGCAATATTTTCCGCGCGGGAAATGGCTGGGATAACTGGGGCAGTCTCCATCGAGATCATAAGCTGTCAAATGAGATACTGAAGTCATATCAACTTATGAAGGCCTAGGGGGTACATAGATATTATCCCTCTATTATTTCCACCGACGAAAGCTGGCCTAGCACGAATCGAGCACAAACCGACAGCTCAAAATCTGCCCCGCCATCCTCAGATAAGATCATGGCCATGTCTCGCAAGGTCATTGGTACTTATGAGAATTTGGTGTAGGCAGGAGTTTGCATTTGGACCAGGGTCTGGCCAACGTAAGGCTTGGGCCTGCTTGGGCCCATATTCTCCTGGCCCTCTTGTCGTATAGCCCTATTGGGTCGTATCTAGGGAGACGAACTTGACAATCAGCGGGCGACTCATCAATGTAAAAATGTCTCCCTATGCTACGCTCTTTCCTTCGAAAAGAATAATCCATTAATGGAAGAGAGATTGGGCTGCGGGCTCTGTCACATGTATCTCAATTACATCAGCACCCCAGATAAGCAGGACGTTGTGATTGGCGTAGTTTCACATGTGCGTTGTGACAGCTGTGCATGAAAGGTTCCAAAGAGGAGGGGTAGGGAAAGCTGTCACTACGGTGCCTAACGAGAGCATAAGGTATATTTGGTGGACGGAACCCAGTGGCTTTCCACATCCATCACTTATACAGACCGAATCTACAAAACAACCGGCATCAACTTTATTACTTCCACTTTCATATCTTGACTTTCTCATTTCTATCAAGCCAAAGATGAACCCCCTCACCTCTTCGCCAACAGAGGTATGTCTGGGCGTTGCCGTTGACCATCGAATACGTTCCCTCTTCAAACCTATCCGCATTCAAACGCAGGTCAGAATGCAAGGAGACGATTCACATGCACAACTTTTAGAAACACTTGCTAGGGAACGAACAGACAGATATATATCTAAAGATGAAATTGATATAACTCTTGAATTATCCGGGCCGCAGACCGTGGGGGGGGTCACTGTGGTGCTACAGCAGCCGGCGAGGTTTCATCCCTACTCCGAGGGATTAGAAGCTGTACTTGACTACTCAGCAACCTTTTCTACAATCGATGAAGCGTTTAGTGCTGTCTCGTGTGGGTCTATATCGATAAGGAGCTCAACGTTGTCTTTAATCGACTCCCTACCATATGTCGGACCGGACGACGACCTTTCGAGCGAAGAAAAATTGAGAGTACGCCGAGTCACCAGCCACATAATCATTAGGAAAGATCCGGATGTTCTGCTTTGTATGTGGCGGCAAGCTGAGGATCACGAAATCACTCGAGAGATGTCTAAGTTTCGAAGCTTAGGGGTCGGGCGTGATTTTGACCGACCAACGGTTACTTTGCGTCCTGGATCGGTTGCCGAAAGAGTGAACTCGTTCCATCCGAGTTTTGCAATAAACTACAATCCCTACGACAGTTGCTTTCGTCAACTATTGCTTTTAAACGTCGCGAAAGCATGTCGTGTATATGAAGGGACCTGGAACGAAGAAGAGTGGATGAATGACCTGAAGAAGAGGTGCAGAGATGAAGCCAAAGCCGGAATAAGTATAACACCCTATTGTTAGCCTAACAGGCAGTCTTTGCTAACTTCACTTAGACCTATGTAAAGCGTACGCAATCTACCTTAACAGGGACTTAAAGTGAATAACACTTACATATAACTTTTAGGGACCTGAAGTATTGCGGCAGCCATTTGAGATCTCAGTTGGATCAGATAAGGGAATGGACTGTCCATTTGGTTGTCGGCAACCAAAGCAGTCAAACAAAAAGCATATACAACGATCTTCTAGGAGAGCGGTTATCGGAGCGATTTAATGATGCAAGCCTATGTCTTTGGGAGCTTTGGTATCAAGATACTGCTATCCCTCCGGATGATATCACACCTGAAAGCCGTACGGAGATAACGACTGGTGGAATACATTGCTATATGCTTCTGACGGGGATTATTTGCGCCATCCGTGGTCATCGACGTATCTCAAGCGGCACGAGCTGCGGTGTCTACGAACCAGACTCTTTAAAGGGCCTTATCAACAGTCTTCTCACGGTCCCACGATCCCCTGCTCATCGAAATCTCTGGACAATTTTGGGACGGTTTCTCGAGAATCTCAATCTGTCGTTCACCAAGGCGGATAGGGGGAAGGCTTACAACTTTTCCTTCAAAGATATCTCTGATTTGTTCTTATCGGTTGCGGTGAGCGTGGAAAATACGCTCCAAGATTTACTGAGCAACGGAGATGACCAAGTTGTAGAGACACAAGGACTTGAAGACGGCATAGCTGACTTGAGATTGTGATCTTTGATAACTGCTACATAGAGAATATCTCTTCGCGGGACATTGACACATTGGTACCGCAGTGCTTCTTGGATAGCTAGATAGCGATGGTATATCGTTGAACTATGCTAATCTCGTTATTCCTGTGACATGGTACAAGAATAATGCTGCCTGGAATGATCAGCGTGGCTGTGCAATTCGCCAAGTGTTCGGGCGTTTCACTAAAAGAGTCAGCGGCGAATTGTGGAAGAGTGTCCGCCATCATGTGAACCTTAGTGGGTCACTGGTGGGGTGGCTCGCGCGACCCGGGTGATTGCTCACCCTGTCTATTGTGCACTCACCCTAAAATCACCCCTGGTCGCGCGACCAAAAGCGGCCTCACCCAACTGCTCACCCAGGTGGCAGCCACCCGCCTTTAGGCCGCGTTCAAGCCACACGCCGGGAGGTTAGTAGTTGGGTGGGTGACCACCAGCGAATCCCTTCTGTTGTATGTTTTTTGGCTCAATTTTTATTGAGCTATCAATCAAGTCAACACAAGGAGTTAATTTTTGGTTGCGATTGTAATAGAAATTTTGCGCTAAATGAGAATAGGTTTTACGAAGGAAATATTGACCGAGGTAGGGCTCTACAATTAACGCTTCTGAATGGCGATAGGAACGCCAATCTCGCTGTAAGATCAAGAGACACATTCTACTTATCCGAAAAGGGCTTGGAGAGGGTCAAGCTTATCCATCGCAGCATTCTGTGAGGCATGCCTTTACACCCTGGTTGGATCACTGGTTATCTGACCTGCGTGCGAGTACATATGCATGCATCTCTCCTTGTACCACAGCCTCATGACCAAGTTCAGCCCCAAACCCCATAGACCCACCAATCAGTGCAGGTTCTCTTGAGTCTTGACACTGCTGCGGCCCGTGTAATCCTTCCGCGACCCAAGCTCTAAAGCTTCGCCCAGATCCACTGGCTATCCACCATGTCCACTACGGGATACATCCACTCCATCCAGTGTTCAGTCATGGGGCGTCCCACCGCTGATGGGTCGCCAATTACCCACTAATACGCCGTACACAACAAAACTCTCCCTTGTTTGGCCCTTCAGATTCATTGGGAGTCTCGCATGCGCCGCAAGTTCTACAGCTTGCGCTTCAAATCTTCCAGGCTCTTCTCTAGTGGGCTAGAGATCAGCCTCACATCAGCACTACCCAGGTATCAGGGAGTATAGTCACGTGCAGACTCATACCTGCTCGAGCCGGGCGATTTGACGTGCCGTAAGACGCATCAGCATCGATGGCTTGGGGCGCGGATTAAGGAATTGTCAATTTCGAGATGCACAGACCTCGTGACTGGATCAATAATCACCATAGATCTTTTGCCAGTCGGTTGCAGCTCATGCGCGGCTAACATGAGAAGGCTGGGATATGGACATCATTGGACCGAGCTTCCTACGGCTAGCCGGTGTCTGGGAAGAGGCGGCCTTTAACGCGACTACTTAAGCTCCAGTCACTACCATTATTATTGCAAGAAGCCTGACAAGACAGGTGAGATCCAGTATCCGGAAGTCTTACTATCTCCTATCCGGGCAGGATGGAGGCCTCTCGCAAACAGACTCTTCCCCTCTTGCCCCCGGGGCGTGACGTCTTATGCTTGTTCATAGTAGAGCCTTCTGATCTGTGCCTTGGAACTCGTTGGCATGAGCTCTAATTTGAAAGAGGCGCTCAAATTCCCTCGAATTTCCAGTAGTACTTCGTCTCTTATTCCCCAAAGAAAATCCCGTCACTAATCGAGTCTCACTTAATTGCAGTGTCTCATTTCAGTTGCATAATGAATTTTTCCGATACCGCTGCATCCTGGGCACAAGATGCAGAAGAACACCGCGGAAAGCGTTTGCTTCCACACGTCATCGATTAATTCGCGCATGAGGAACCTGAACGGGTCTTTATTTGCATCCCAAATCCAGTGATGTTACTGATAGCTTTCGCTATGTGACTATGCATGTCATGGCGCAGCCGTGAATCAAACGGTCTAGTGGATAGATCAAACCTTCCGTCAGACTGTCAGCCTGGATATGCATGGAAGGGAATGTGGTACGGAGTGGGTTGAGGTGCATTGCTAATTACCTCCGGGTACTTTATGGAAGGATTTGAAACAGAAGCATGCGAAGGTGCACCAGGTCTTCTGCTCCTGGGTGCGCAGATGGCTTCCACCGGTGGACAGGACATGGTCTCAGTTGGCCAGACCTACATTTGCATCTCTAGGGCCGATCATTGAGATATTGTTAGAGAAATGGTGTCAGGACTGTTTTCATCCCCCGAGTTAAATACGACGCTCAACAATTCTCACCTCCCCAAAACCTTTCCCAGGAACCTCCTCTTCTTCTCCTTCACACCCAACGAAACCCTAACATCCCCATTGACCACCTCTGCCTCCACCTTCTCATCCTCCCCCATCCCCCTCATCCTCCCCCATCCCCCTCCTCCTCTTCCAATTCCTCTCCGTATTCGTGACATACCCCTCCCTCCACAACTCCCCATACATCTCCCTCGCCTCCTCTGCCGTCCTAATTCTCAAAATATCATACGTGCTGGCGGCAGTCATAGCGGCATCCCGATCACGGGTACTATCCCCCTCGACAACATGTACATTGACACCTAACGCACGCAACTGCAATCCCCAGAGACTATCTTCCTGCGAGGTCACGAATACGGTGATTCGCGTCGGGGAGACGGGGTACTGCAGGAGATAGGTGAGTGCGTCGGAGTCGACGCCGTAGGGAAGTGGGCCCAGGACGAAGGAGTCGTTGCGGGCGATGGCGGCGGTGAGGAGGGGTGGGTAGTGTGTGTGGAAGTAGATTTCGTTGGGACCGGTGTTGATGGGGCCGGAGATGAAGGCTGTCTGGGAGGGCATGGTGGTGGGAAGGTGAGAGTGGTGGACGGAGGGGGTGAAAGTAAGTTGGTAGATGGGTGATGTGTTGGATTGGGGGTGATGATGGATGATTTGCCTAGGACGAGACTGGCGTAGTGTACTATTTTCTGTGTAGGCAGTATAAGATAGAGGTGGTTGGGAAACGGGTAAAGAAAAGGAAAAAGAAAAAGAAAAAATGGAGCTGCGGGGAATCGAACCCCGGACCTCTCCCATGCTAAGGGAATATTATACCACTAAACCACAGCCCCATTTGATGAAAGATGCAACACATATTTTGTTATATGAGGGAAGCTAACAGCAATCTTTGCACGGATGCCTCATTCGTAAGTAGCGGTCCGGAGTCTTGGGCCACGAAGTGTTTCACCGTTGCTAGCAGAACATGATGCTATAGTTTACACTCCAGCTAACAACTTTTTGGATATAGATACCTTAAATGAGCTATTGACAATATGGTTGATGCTTACTTCTAGTAGAATCGCCGACTCAATGATTGCTCTGACTTGCCGTATGACGATTATATATTTTAGACGGATGTTCATAAGACTACTCGTACTACTAGTAGTACTTTGTGTAACATAACAATTGATCACGCTACACACTACCAGGCAATGTTCAAAGGAGACACTATTAACTTTTACTTCCAATAATCAATGGAAAAAGGTCACATCTCGAATAACTGGACTATCATTCCTGCTGAGGCTGCCGGAACATTGATCATGAGCCTGCCACGGAACTATGGAATTACCCGGAAAAAGCAACGGAACAATCACGGAATAAGCACGGAACTCCAAAGTGACGGAACTACAGCTCCACCCACCCACCAGCCCTAACTCGTCCATCGAGCCAGGAAAGGTTAAATCTATGCTTAACTGGATCCACAGCTGCAGATGATCGGCATCGCCGAGAGGGGCATTTGAGGCCGATGTATCCGCTTATGCTTCGGAGGCAAGCCAAAATTCTCGATGGCGAGGGTTGGTGTTTCCCAGTTGATACAGTGTCCCTAGATAACTGACTGTGGGATTGGGTAGATGGAGAAGTTGACTCGGTCTCATTGAGCAAGATGGGAATGGTACAGACGTCACACCGGTTCAGTAACCAGCCCGACCCAGATGAACGACTCCATATACAGATAACCATTCGCCTCAGCTTCAGATGCCGAAATATCCGTGTCACAGCAAGAAGGCAAGGATCGACTTGTTCCATGACCAAGTCGACATAGCAAGCCCACCATGTCGACCATATAAGAAACACAAACTTCCCATTCCCATTCCTATTCCCATCACAACAATCACCATCCTAACCCCCGACCAATATCCTCACCCAAGCACCACCAACATAACACAGAATGTCTCCCCTCCCCCAAAAAGTCGCCTTCGTAACCGGCGCCAACGGCATCAGTGGCTACGCCATCGTGGAACATCTCATCCGCCAACCCAAACATGAATGGTAACCACCTCTCATCTCTTCACGCCTAGCTACCACCCCACTAACTCGATCATTAAATACTCAAGGTCCAAAATCATCGTCACCTCCCGACGTCCCTTGCCCACGCCGTGGATCGACCCACGAGTGGAATTCGTCGCCGTGGATTTCCTCGAATCCGTGGAAACCACCATCTCTAAGCTCAAGGATATCTGTGCACCCGTGACGCACGCTTATTTCACTTCGTACGTGCACGATGATGATTTCAGGGTTCTGAGGGAGAAGAATGTTCCTCTGTTTAGGAATTTCTTGGATTCCGTGGATGCGGTGTGCCCTGGGTTGCAGAGGGTGAGTTTGCAGACTGGGGGAAAGGTATGTTTCTCATTCTGGAGTTTTCCTGTTGATGAGTGGAAGAAATGGTGGGAGTTGATGCTAACGAATGTAGTACTACGGGGTGCATCTCGGTCCAGTGAAGGTGCCTTTGGAGGAGTCGTTCCCGCGGTACGACGATCAGGGGTACAATTTCTATTACAACCAGGAAGATTATCTGAGGCAAGTGCAGAAGAGAAGGAATGCCTGGTCGCATAATATTATCCGACCAAATGCGATCAATGGATTTGCTCCGCATGGTGGGTTCATTTATCCATCCACCTATACCATTCCCTGTGGTGAGACACCTAGGCTAATGCTGTCTGGAACGTCCAGCAAACGGAATGTCAGAGGCCTTGACCATCGCCATCTACATGCTCATCTGCAGGGAGCTCAACCAGCCAGCGACATTCCCTGGAAATGAGTACTTCTGGAACTCCATCGATGATAATTCGTACGCACCGAGCCTGGCGGATCTCACAGTCTGGGCTTCTTCGCAAGAACACTGCAGGGATGAGGTCTTCAATCACGTCAATGGTGATGTTTTTGTGTGGAAGCATATGTGGCAGGATGTAGCCAAATATTTTGGAGTCGAGGTATGGTGCTTTTCTTCATAGTAGCGTTGCCACATACAGGCTAACCGTGTGGTTCTGTAGGTACCAGAACCCAAGTTTGAAAAGGCCGCTGGCCAGGCAAAGACCTTGAGCAATGAGATTGATATGGTGGAATGGGCAAAGGATAAACGTGCAGTCTGGGAGACTGTCGTCCAGAAGCACGGAGGCAAGGTCGAGGCATTTGATTGGGGCACGTGGGGTTTCTTTAACTGGGCAACGGGCAAGTCGTGGTTGACGATTTCGTCCATCAACAAGGCCAGAAAGTATGGCTGGCAGCGACACGATAATACTTTCGACACCTGGATCGAAACTTACAGGTCGTTCGAGAATGCTGGTGTCTTGCCGTCGCACGCTTCACTGGCTCGAGCGGGGTAGACTTGGGATATGCATTTGATGATCACCAGCCCCGTTCGTGAAGGGACATGAGAATGAGGGGGCGAAAAGATCAGACTCCTCACATGGCAATCATAGAAGTGTGAGCGATGAAGAGAGAGAAAACTTAGTCGGCTATTAGTCTCTGCAAGGCATCACGTGTATTGACCATGTATAAAATCAGAGTTGACATAATTGCCGAACAAAGCTTCTAGCCATTCCATTTCCCCAAATCCACTATCTCCGAAGTCTCCAACCGTCACTTCGTTATGCATAGCCAAGGGTCTCGAAGTAGTATGACTGGCGCCCGCACCGCCTTCTGGCTGGTCATTTGGTAAGGGGTGTATGCATGCAGGACCTTGTGTAGGATGCATTCCAAATCCACTACCAATCGGAACGCCTTCCTCAAAGTCAAAGTCAGACATGACTAGGCTGGCCAGGCCATCGAATGACAGAACCTGCGTAGGCAAGCAAGGCTCAATAATATCTGGCCTGTACAAAGGTGGAATCTGAGAGGTGGGTTCGCCTCCTACACCCGAACAGACATTCATATCAGGTGGTCCGACAAATTCATGTTTCCCTACTGATGGGTCGCTTGATATTTGGCTTGGGTGAACCATGGAAGAACCTTCGCCACTGTCAATCCCTGTTGGTCGAGCCCGACTATCCAGAACCCCGGGAGCACGAGATGAATGTTTGTATAGTGAGAGTCCCGAGCCCACGACATTGTCATCTTTCAATAACCGAGACGCCATATGCCTCAGCCTTGAAACAACTCGTATTAACTTCCCAGATACCCAAGTTTTGGTGCAATAAGTCTCCAGCAATCGGACGGCATGAACCGTGGCTCCGCCATAGGCAGCCTTGAACGTATTCTCTTTCATTATCAGCCCGAGGGAGGTTATTGTCGCCCCAATTAGGTAGTGTATGAAAGGAAAAGTGAAGATGGCCTTTTCCTCAGGAAACTGAGAGACCTCTTCAATAATGCCATTAGCGATTTGCATGCATGACATTTCGTTCTCGAACGAGTCCAGAGGAGTCCCGTCATGCGAAACAGATGCGCATAGCAGGGGCCTGCGTATCAGAAGGCGAACGGATAGCCACCGCTGGGGATATCAGTAAGGCAAAATCAATGGAAACAAGCAGGCTAAGTGTCATACAGTTCGCATTAGCGCTTGCTGCTTTATCAGCCACCATGGCGTTTCGGCAAGTTGCGTTGCGCGTGGTCCATAGTGGGGATGGGCGAAGTCCTGATGGATATCTTTCTGAGCCCGGAACAACAGGCGTTCAAGATGCTCACGGAGAGGATAGTTGGGAGCCAGGTCCAAGCTTTTAGCGCCATAGAGCCCCTCCCAGACTTTCCCCAAAACTTGGGAGTAGGTTATCATAGCTTTGAAGTAGGGAAACGAAGTGGTATGAGGACCAGTTGCTTCCGACGGTTGAGGCATGTCTAGGACAGCATTGGGGCAATTATGGGACCCAGAGAGCTGGTCATCGTCTACTGGTCGAGGTAAAGGCGTGTCAACATTGACATCTTGGATCAAGAATGGGTGGCCGGTCTCAATAGCCAGGCGACGATCCAAGATGTAAAGACTCCACCACATCCGTCGAGACATTTCACTGTGAAAAGGAGACAAGTTATGTATTACCCTAGATCGGTGTAGCCCAAGATGATGTGCGTGGCTGATAGCAAGAGCTAGAAGCTTTTCGGCCTTTCCAAAAATATCAAGACGAAAAAGATAGATTACCTACGAAAACACGATGTAAGCGTGAATCATGCATATCGCCAGGGGAGGGCTGGAACGAACCATCAAGGCCAGTGTTTGTAGAAGTAGTAGTGAATCTGGGCAGCTTCCGAAACTGTCAAGAAGGTCTCCAATCAACCCATATGCTGCTCCATATAAGCTCCAGCCTGCTGAGTGTCGTCCTTCTCGATTCTCTAACCTTGGTGACTCGGTACACTGTCCAATAGCAATGCATACGAGAAGCTGAGCCAGAGCTATCTCGGAGATCTTTGATTTGTGGATGTCAGGTTCAGAAGACAAAGCGAGACTATTCCACATGGCAGCGTGATTGTTTCGGAGTGTTGGTAGGTGTAAGAACGGATACAAGATATGAATTTCCGTACAAAAGATGCCCAAGGACTTATCCCACTGCGGTCGCTTAGGCTGGATACCGTATGTTAGGAATATGTTTCGGTGAATATTATACTCTGGACTCTTTTCTCCCCTCTCATGATGAGGTGAAGGGGTCAAAATCGGTGTGGAAATTTGAGAATGGGGAGCGTTGGTGGCAGGACCACCGTGGCCTTGAGTTGTCTCCAAGCGTTCCTCGACTTCCTCCAATGCATGTCGGATGGAAGTTTCACCGGAAAAAGAGTTTACCTCATCACGAACAAACGCCTTGTCCTTTGAGGTAGTAAAGGATCCGTTTTCGATGGTGGTCGATCCTGGTCCATCCACCGGGCCTGTTTCTGCATCGATGCTGTCACGCCTATTGAAAGCAGGGCATACAGCATTAATGAGGGACTGCAACTGTCGTTCGACGCGATCCAATCTCGTCAACACATCCTTACCCCTCACACTGAAGCTCCAATTAGAAATAGTTCTCCAAGAAGCGTCACACAGATGCTCTTCAGTGATGGTGGGGTGACAAACGCGGGATTTTCCGTACTGTCAATGTCTTCTCGAGTCATCGATTCCCCCACATGACTTGCAGACATTTCATTTCTAACAGATGTTCGACGTCGTAGATCGATAGCATTCTGGGAGCATCGTCGCCCGCTAAGGAGGCAAGGTTGACAAGGCAAGTTCCCATCGCACTGCGTTCACAATTAGCAGTTGATCATACTTGAACTTTTTTTTGCATCCTCACTTTGACCTTTCGCTGGCGACATTGCATACTGTAGGGTTTGGGTCAGTTGAACGGAAGAAGCCGGAAATGGCCTGAGGCATATTATCATACCATGCCTGAGAGACATATCTACCCCGTCTTTGGCGTTTCGAGTCAGGCAACGCATTGGGCTGATCAGCACCGTGAAGGGGACTGCCATCACCAGAGCGTTTGCTACCCCGTGACTCACGTGTAACTGTTTCTGGCCGCACCATTTGGCTTCAATATCGGAATTTAGCCTGTTGGACAGTAACATGTCGCTTCCAAGGTTGTTTTGCGGGGATCTACCAACGGAAGTTGCCGGAATCACGGAATCAGATAGACCGCCTTCTATTTACAGTACCTTGTTTATGTCCCAGGCAGAACAAGTGCCTGTTTCAGTGAGAAGTGGTGGTGATGTTATTCCCAGTTTGTGACCCTTAAGAGTAAAGAACTTTGTTGTCAGATTTTACCAGAGTTTCGAATTGGAGCTTGACAGTTTCAATGATGAGCGGCATGTACCTGAACAACTCAAATCATTTGCTAGTTTGAATTTCCGTAGCTATGGAAGTCTGGTCCGACATCAAAGGTGCCGTTCCAGCTGAGACCTGTGGAGAAATACCCCCAGAAATTAGAGACGAGATACGCCGTCGTTTTGTTATCAGTCCAGTTGCGCTAAGAGACTATTGGAACAATGAACGTGCAGAGATGGCCTTGGATCGTGGACCATGTTTGTCTCCCAGAAAAAGCCCTTCACCACCTCCATTCCATTACCTATCTATATACTTGTTACTCTGATCTGACTAATGTTTTGAAGGGCAACAACCACAGGATTATCTACTCTCCCTAGATCGGCGCGAAGAGGCATGGATTCAGCAATACGCAACAACAACAACATCGCGATCCGAAGATTGCCCCCAGGCACCCTCAGCAACCCAAAATGACCCAGACAGTCATCTCTCCTTGCTGCACAAATATGCCAAAGTTGCACCCCATCTTCTCCCAACTGACCCTGCTATGAATGCGCCCCATCTCTGGCATACAGATCTGCACGCTGGAAACCTCTTCATTCAAGACGGTAGAGTATCTAGTGTCATAGACTGGCAAGGACAGTGTAGAGCACCACTGATGCTTCAAGGACGTCCTCCACAGCTAGTCCACTATGATGGCGAAATTATCTTGAGAAACCCCGAGAACTTCGACGACCTTGATGCACAGGAAAAGTCTCGGCCCCGAGAACGTATGGGCAAGTCGATGCTGTCCTACTTTATCAACTGCGGATTAAGAATAGGTGCCCCATTCTTTTGGAAGTCTTGGATATCCCTATGGAGAAACTAGAACGGATCCAATTTCTATGATGGGCAATACGTGGGATAACGACATCATTCGATTGCGGGGAAGCTTGATAATGGTGGAAAGGTATTCAAAGTCTTTTCTTTCTTTCTTTAGGGTACAATCCCTTTTGAGTGTTTACTGATCATCCTTCAGATACTGGGAGTCAATGGTATTTGACATCCCCTGTCCCATTTATTTTAAGGAGGAAGAAATACATAACTGCATAGAAGAAGAAGGCGAGATATGGAACAGAATACAAAATTTTTGGGACAAGGCTGCCAAAGTGGTGGACAGGGAGGGCTTTTCATTTCATAAGTGCTACGATCGTGCCGTTTTACTTTTTAAAAAGGTGCGAGAGGCTTGCAAGGAAGGTATGGAAGGGAAAGAATGGGAAATGTGGGACAAGCAGACACGCTGGGTTGAGAAGCATTACCGGACTGATTCTTGACTGTGGTCTTTCTCCCAGATTGAAGTCATCAGAGCAAATCATCGGTATTTCGTTTCATCTCTCTTTTGTCACATAGCTATTCGTCAATGCCTAATTTCGTGAAGCTCTAGTGTGCTTCCACTTACTATCGTTTGAAATGCATTGGCTGCTATAATCTTTGATGCGAAAAAACCAGAGCATTCTTCAACTCTTTTAGTTATATGATATGAAGAACTAACACGATGTCTAGTTTGATGCTCACGTCAATGGTTTGGGAGACATTGGCCCTGCACATCTCCACTAGTGACTAATGAACAGAGTAATTCTTTGTTTCCTTGTTCTGTTCCCCACGAGTGACTCAACACTATGTGGACTAACATAACTCCCGGCCGCGCCGGCCACCCACCTACTACACACCCACCTACTACACACCCAACGCAAGCAAGAATGAAGCTATTCAAACAACATTATTATTAGCAAAGCCTATATATTATTACTTATTACAGAGATTTAAACACTGATTTCTTCTGTGGTTAATTATATAACATTTACTGCAGCGGGAAGATGCCTGAGCAGATAATTAAAATATTATTTTCTTTATCTAAATCTTCTTTAGTTATTATAATTTAACTCTTATTTTCTGGATTAAGATATTTTCTTTAAAAATTATCTGTTACTTTGATTACTTCTTCTTTCAAAGTTATTTTTTATATATAATATATAGATCCTGGTTCTTCTTTGCTAGAATTATTATACTATTTATTACTAACTTATAGCCTTTGATAACTTGATTTATAAGTACTTTTATAGATAAAGATAGACTTCTAGTATATCTATTAAAAATTTCTAAAAGCGCGGATTTATATTTTCAAAATTATTATATATTATAGAAGGTCTGGAATACCGAACTAATTATTTAATTAATTAAAATAATTAATATATATAATTAAATTTCCAGCTTTTTAAATATTTAATCAGAATCTAGAAAAATAAGACCAATAGCTCTAAAATTACTGATTATATAATATTTATTTAAAATATCAGATTATATCTAGAAATAGTATTTAAAAAAGTCCAGCTTATTAATATAATTAAATTTAAGATTAATTTTATTCTCAACTAAGTAGCTATATACATATTTAAAAAAACTAAAACAGCTAATATTAAAAGATTAAAATAGATAAAATAAATATAAAAATATATTAATTAATATAATATTATTTTATATATAAAAATTATTAAATTCAGGAGTTAGATGACTTCTATAATTATCTAAAATAAATAATTAAGATTAACTAGTAGAGTATATAATTAATAAAATAAAATATCTTTTATATTATTATAAATTAATAAAATTAATAATTTAATTATTATTACTAACTTTAATTCTCTAATCTGTAAATAGATTAATATTTTAAAATTATATTTACAGGTGTATCTTATCTTTGAAAATTAAGATTAAAAATAAAACTGATCTAGAGATTTAAATATATTTAATTAAAATTATTTATCTCTGATTTCCTGGTTATATAAGTAATAGTTTATTTTTAATTTTATATCTAGTAATAATCTGTGGAATTCTAATAATATCTATTATAAATTTTATTTTATTAAAATTATAGATATCATCTGGTTGGATCCCATATTAGAGAATTATTATTTAAATAAAATTAAATTATTTTTTAATTATTTTAAAATTTTTATATTTAGTTTATTAATAATTATAGCGCCTTGTAAACCTCTGCTTTAATTAATTATATTATTTAACAAAGCAAGAGATCCAATTTTAATTAATATTTTAAAATTTAAAATTATTTTTTTTAGAGAATAGAATATTAATTATATTTTATATTTAAAAGAATCAGGGAGGTGCTTTATATTAATCTAATAATAAAATTTATTATATAAGATATTCTTCTTTATTATGAGTTAATTTTTTAATACTATTAGAAGTCTTTTAAATAAATAAAGTACCGCGTAGTTGATCTTATAAAATAAAATATAAGATAATTGTGATAGGATCTACTTGTCAGGGTAGAAAGCCTGTCGACTAGGTAAGGAATCAACCACTAAATACTATATATTTATCTGATAATGACAAAGGTAGTCTATATCCACGAAATAAATTAATTCTTAAGAAATCAGTAGTTTATTATAAAGGAATCAGTATCTTATAGATACCAGAGAGATATAGAATTATTATTAATAATCTTATAATTCTTATAATTATTATAATATATTATTCTAATAACTTTTATTCTGATAATTAGATTATTTTATTATAAATAGTATTTTTCTCTACTGGGACGAGTTACCTGGCTCGGATATTAGAAATAGTCTTATATATTTCTAATTCAGAACAGTGGGGATCTGATAATAAAAGATAGAAAATCTATAAAATATTTAATATAAATAAAATTATATACTGATTCTGTATAGCTTTATTAATATTTAATCATATTTACATAGATAAATCTACTGTAAAGAAATATAAATAATAAAATTTTTTATATTACTTCTCTTTTTCTTTTCTTTTTATTTTATAATTATCTTTTTTTTAGTCTTCTGTAATTATTTTATTTACTTTTTATCATTATTTTACATGCTTTTTATTATTTTTATTATTATATATTAATTACTTGGTAATTAGATATTTTTTTATATTTATTTCTTGCTTTATTTGCTCTCAGATTATATATTTTATATTAGATCTTTTAATATACCTCCCAAAACAGCTCCTAAGAAGAAGATTTATATATTATAAAAATAGTTTATTAAGATTTAATATTTTTTTATATATATTATCTCTGTACTATTAATACTAATTTTGATATTGCTGAGAGAGTTTTCTATAATATTAATTATTATTAAAATACTCATGCTTTGGTACTGTATTACTAGTATTTTAAGAAAAGAAAGATATATTTTATAATAAGTATTATTTAATCTCTTTTATTATACTGGATATAATGCTAATATTAGCTAGACTAATACAGGAATATTTAATAATACTTATAATTTTACTACTATTCTCAAATAACAAGTAAAACTGATAGACACGGAATATTAGAATAAGAATATTAAGTATATTATTTTTAAGAAGATATTAAACTTAGTTATTATATATAATTATATAGAGTCAGTTTATGCTTACTAATTTAATCTTAAGAAATTAAAAAAAACCACTCAGATATAAAAATCTTATAAATAGCTGGAATAAATAGCTAATTAATAATATTTTAATAAATAAATATAATAGAATATAATTTATTTTTTATTATTTATTATTAGATTATTAATTTATTAATTTCTCTGCCCCCTGCTGGTACTATCTTTATATAATACTAGATATATAAGTATAATTCACTGCTTTATCTGATATTAAAAAATAAAGATTATATAATCTAGACTTTAGTCTTAAGATTTTACTTAGATATTATTACTAAGATAACCCGTGTGTAATATTCTGATATTATTAATAAAGTTATATCAGATAATAATAATAATTTTAATAAATATAATATAATTCTTGAGATTTATAATTTAATTAATTTATTCTTTGTTTTTATCCCTAGCCTGTAAGAAGATCTGGATATTATTATTATTTATTTTATAAATAAATAATAAATATAATTAAATATATTTAAACATCTCCTACTATCTTATAACAGGATGATTTTATATCTATTAGTATATTTAATCTGTGATAATATAATTAATAAGAAATATTAAGAAGTTGATATTTTTATAATTTATTTTTTAAAAATATAGAATAATTTACTAATAATTATCTTTTATTTTCTTAATACATGGCATTTCTTATAGAATTTCTAATATTATTTTATGACTTCGGGTGTATTTTCTATATTTTTATTAAGAATTTATTAATTATACTTACTTAGCTAGCCTTTCTATTTGATTAAATAATAATCTTGATTATTATATTATTAGTAGTCTTTAATTTCTTTAATTTTCTATTTATTTTTATTATTTAGATCTAGTATTAAGAGTAGTTCTTTCTGGTTTCTTTCTGTATTTTACAATTCCAACAAGGAAATATAAAATATATTATAAATTTATTTATATTTCTTAGATAAGTATAAGTAATATACTTAGAATTTAATATATTTAAAAATCTGAAAGAATTCTATAAACTTTAGAACTAATTTTCTTAATTTTTTAAACTGTAGATTCTAGATTAATAACTTGACTAAATCTCTTTCTTTAAAGTAAAATAACTTTTTATATTTATTATAATATTTCTTTTATTTTTTTATAATTATTTATTATATCTTTTATAGCTATTCTCTTATTTCTTAAAATTTTCTGATCTTATCTTGTATTACTGGGATTTTTTACTGTTGGGAATCAGCCTCAATTCAGATATAAAAATTTAGTAAAAAACTATAAAGAATATTATAAAATAATTAATCTATAATTATATTATTTATATTATTGCAAGTGAATTGAGTACTTGGTAAGATTAATAATTAGTTAATATTATAATAGCTAAAATAATATCAGAGATAATATTTAAGTATTTAATTTATTTATTTTATTTAGTTATCAGTTTAAG